AATAATTGGTGATTCAAAACTTTTAAATGTTTTCACAATATGTCACAAAATACTATTATTAAATATCAACGTTGTTTTCAAAGCTTTGGTTTAGTGAATAAATTTGTTATAAAATTGTAAAATAGGTTATCATTTAAATTTAAATGAAATAAAAATATTTTCGAGATTTTGCTTTTTATAAAATAATATAAGAAATGTTTTGATTGTGAAAACATGGAAAAAGTTTTAACGGTTAGCTTACTTTTTTGAGCCACTTTTAGATAGTGAATGAGTTAGTAGACCTACACGTGTTTGAGTTGTATGGGTTGGCTAACTATGCGGTAGTTCGGGGCAATCGGTGGTACCGTTTGTGGGACGCATCTGCGCATCGGTAGGTATAGCCACCAGTAATCCTCTTGAGATATTAGTCGCGTCCTTAACGCTTAAGTATTACCTCAGTTATACTGTATATATAATATGTTATTACAAATCGTCATACACTCCATACCCTCTCAACAGTCATGCATAACGTTATGGATATAATACATATGATTATATTATTGAAGAGCTCGACTACCATAATGTTTGTGTCTATTGCCTGCTATTGATATGATGTACATCTCGTGAATAATTTCATTCATTTTACTTTATTTTTCATACATAAGCTCATAGTATTGCTCATGAATTTTATACTAGACGTGACTTTATATATATATGAATATATGTTGCATAGTATCGTATGATGTTATCTATGATTTTTATATAAGCTATACATTACTTGAGAGCACACGTTTAAGTTAGCGACAAATTTTTATATCTATATTCAAACATATAAAAAGATCTTCAGGCAAATAACATACCAATGAGTCAACAAATTGTCTCAATTAAAGTTAAAATTGCATTTAGATTACTACTTTCAACACAAATACAAATAATAGACAAATTTTAACTATTAAATATTATTATATATTTGATAGTATAACATATTAATGATATTATTTCATATACTGTACAGAATATTAATGTTATAAATAAAATAGCGAATATAGTTAATAACAAATATTAACAAATAATAACAAATAACATTAAGTAACATCACTTTTATTAGTTATTTTCAAACCGATAATAATTTTGTTAGCATATTAAAGATACAACGATATTAGCAATTATTTGCTTTTTATATATAAAATAAAATATTTTATTTAATGAAACAAATAGAGTTGTGTCAAAATAGTAATTTCTAAAATATTAGGGAATTCCTCTATAAGTTATTAAAAAAATTCTGTCAATTGTATACTAATGTTAATTTTGTTTTCTTATATTTGTTATCTTGTAATATAAAGAAAATTATTATTAATGATTATTATTTTAAGTTATTTTTAAATTAACAAAATTAATACATTTTAACACATATTTATGAATATATTTTTATTTTAATTTACATATTAATTAAATATAGGCAATTTATATGGGGATCCAATGGTATAATAATAAAAAATTATTCATATAGAAATTTACTCTTGATAAATTTTCCCAAAAGAAATTTATTAGTAATTTTCATTTACCCATTTTTAAAAACAACACATATTTATATTAATATTCAAAGTATTTATTTGTATTATTTACTATTTTATTAATATTTATATATATTATATTATTTTAAGTAAAAAACTTTTAATGAATCTATAATTAAAATTATTTCTATTTATCTAATCTAAGTTCACCTTTAGTGCAAAAAATAAAATTAATTTAGTAATGTCTCATGTGATTACAAAAATGTATCCAATATAAATAATAAATATAATATAGTACAGTATAAACAAAAAATATTTATTTGCTTATAATAATTTATTTTTTGTACAGAAAATAAACTAAAAAGTAAGATAACATAATAAAATCAAATTTGTTAAAACTTTATAAAATTAAGATTTTTTCATTTAAATATATAATACTTTTTTAATTAATATTATAAGTTGTTATTTTATAGATAGAAAATTAGTTTAACTTTTAATATTAACATAACATGTAGTTTTAGTGAATTTTTAGCTCATTATACATTATAAATTTTATTTTCAAAAAATAAAAAAACAAAATTAGACTACAAGTTAGTAAAACTAAATTGAATTTTCTTATGATAACCAAGATATCAGTAAATATAATCAAGACTATTTAATCTTATATACTGTACTTATATAATTGATCTCAATGACCTATTTTATAATATAATATAATGTATTAATCATAATAATGTAAAATTAGATTATTAACTATAAATCACACAAAAAGCTGTTTTATTTATAAAATTTATAAAACTTTTTTTTTGTTATATTAAAGGCAGTTAAAAAATACTAAGATTATTGAACTGTTTATTAAATTATCTGGATTCATTTTGTTCATATAAATTATTTGGCAAAAATTTATTTAAACAGATGTATGGAAAAAACATATGAAAACAATTATTAATAATATAAAGTTATCGCAAATATTAAATATATGACAAAATTGTAGACGTGATCACGTGATAGGAAACTCTTGAAAAGATGCGGTTAAGAGATGGTATTGAAGTACAGAATTAAATAATATTAGTATTGATCGCAAACTCATCGCTAAAAGTTAGGTCAGAGTTAGACTACAGTTAGACCACTCATTGCATTGCAATTCCCATTTGATATACAATGATATTCCCATATTATAATGAGTTGCCTTTTGGCTAATCATTTATTTGTTATGAATTACAAATGCAAATGTCTTTTCAATAGTTTGCTTGAATTTAAATCATTGATACAATTATCCACTAAAAAATTTCCATATATTTTGTACATATATAATATATAATATACTCAATCTATTGTAATATATTCTGTGTTATATAAAAATGACAATTAAACTTTATGTTTTGTTATTTAAATTTAATTTATACGAATATTTGATAAACATTTTTTTTATTAATTTTGGGCAATTAAATTAATTAATGCTAATGCTTAAATTATCATCATTATCAAGTTATATAAAATTATAGTTTAATTTTGTAAAGCGTATTATATAACTAACGTTATATTTAGCGTAATATTAGCCATTAATTTTTAAATTGCTGTAATAAAATGTTGATATAATTTATAATAAAGTATTAGTTATAATGTAAAACATTTATAATTATAACCATTTTGTGTGCAAAACTACATTTAACAAAATTGAGACTAAATCAAGAAAAATGTATTATATTATATTAATATAAATAATTAATATTGTATTTATAAGATGATAAAACAATATAAACATACATGACTTGAGATAACGTTATAAATGGCTCAATGCCTCTTAGATAATATAATACAAAATTATTTATATAACTTTTTATGATTGATTAAATATTTAATAACATTTTCCTAATAATAATACCTTTCTTACATATTTTAAGATATAATTTATAACACATCAATAATACGATTAGTTATACAAGTTATGCAAAATAATTATTTCTTAATAATCTGTTAATTGTAAGTTTTATTATTATTTTTTTGTTATTAACAAATTGGTGTTTTATTACAATTACTTATTTTAAAAACTGTTTGACCAAAATATTCTAAATTTTAGGAAAACTTACACTGTTTTAAAAATTGTAAGTAATTATAACTAAGACTATATAATACAGTATATTTGCAATTTATAGGTACTTTTAATTTGAATTATATACTTAAACTGTAATTTTTTGAATCAAACAATATTTCGGTCAAAGGCTCCAAAAAATACTAGACATAAATATATAATGGCGTAAAAAATCTCAATCTATAATCTCATATATTTATTATATTATATTTTAACTTTATGTTTATACTTATATAGTACTAGACATTTACTGTATTTATGAAAATATGTATTTTTCTCATAATATAACGTCAAAAGATTAGCATTTTAATAAATCAATAACAGTCTGAAACTTTTCAACTATCAATACAATATGTATAATTCAAGATTCATAAAATGCATTTATGCAAAATGTTTTTTCAAATATATTTAAATAAAAATTGTATAAAAAATATTTGCAGAATTAATTTTATTAATTAAATATTATATAAACTTTTAAAATTTAAAATTTAAATATTTAATACAAATAGTGAGTATTATATTATACTTAATAAAGTCTCTATTTATTAAAGAGTATCTATAATAAGCAAAAACAATATAATTCACACATTCCTACAGAGATTTTGCTGTCAAACATAACAAAAATTGTTTGAAATGTAATCGTGAATATGTTAATGAAATACTTAATTAGATAGTTATTAAAAAGTAGTAATATTTTTGGTAAAATTATTAGTAATTATAAGTCAGATGAGCGGAATTGTATCAAAAACAGGAGTTGTTTTGGGATTTGCGGTCATTTGTATGGTTTAAACCCAATAATACTTGTATAACAATAGCCTTAAATAATGACATACATTCAATACATTCATACTTTTTATGTAAACATTTCACGTTTTGGATACCTTTGACAGTAAGCTCTATAACTACGGTATACAGTATTATATATATACTTTTATACAGTACTCAAGTAATATACTGTACTGTTATATATACAGCTAAATATATCGTATAAAAGTAATACTTTTGGTTAATGAAAGCCTATAAATGAAGTGAAACTTTTCATTAAATGTTATGCAGTGTTGGTGTCTAAAGCCTGAGGCTTTTCCCTTAAATAAAATTGTTAACACTTTTAGATTGGTTTCCAATTAATGACTCACAACTTATTATTAAATCAACACATTTGCCACTAAATATAATAATATTGTTGTATTTATTTAATTATTTTTCATTTAAAACTTTCAAAAAATTCAATACATTGATAACATTTTCATTAAAATTGCTACAAAATGAAAACTATTTGTGATAAATAATTTTAACCTGAAATAAAAATGTGTTGTATTTGTTTAATCAATTTATTGCAGTAATTGGCAAAAATGCAATATTGAATGCAAAGCATATATAAGTATATATTTTTGATAAATTAATGATACGTGCGTTCACTACAAAAAGCTTTTATTTATTATTACTATTTTATATATAATTAGTACGTTTCTGGAGGAATATAGTCTTCTTCGACCACAGTTTTGGCTTTAAGTTCTTGTATTTTGCGTTCGGCTTCAGAGAAATCCATCTCATGTTTGGTAAAGTTCTCAAAGAAATATACTTTACGTGAAGTCATTTGCAATTCCCTCTTCTTCTCTTCGATTTCTCGTTTTTTCTCTTCTCTAAAAAGTTCTTCAATTTGTTTATTGAGTGCCAATTGCCTCTCATTTTCCCAGTCTATGAATAATTTGGTCATTAATTGCATATCTTGTTTCTCCAAATCCTTTATATGTTTTAATTTTTCTGAAACCAATTCATCTAAATTTTGGTCTACTATTTGTGATCCACTGCTCATATCATTCAAAACTTTTTTAATATCTAATAATTTCTGTTTATCAGAATTTTCTTCACTAATAGAGTTAATTAACTGATCGACTCTATCGACCACTTCTTTTACGATAACATTTTGTTTATTTTTTGATAATACTTCTAATAAATGTAAACATTTGTCCCATTTTTCATATAAAATCAAACCAATTATTTGATAGCTTCTGCCGACAATATCATCAAATTTTTGACTAAAAAAGTAAAGTGTTTTACCACACAAATGATTGGGATCTCGAAGATCAAAGTGATCATCAAAATACTCGTTTCTAATATAAGGCACTCGTATATAACGCACTTCTTCATCGTTGTCATCAGTGGTAATGACTGCTCTATCGGTGCACGCATTCGGATAGAGTTCACTCTCTTTGGTCAATCTTTCGAGTTCTTCGCTATTAAACCATTCATTTTTGTCATAATTTCCATTAATGTATTTGTGAACCGCATATAAGCTCAGTATTTGTGATAAACTGGTACCTTCTTCTTCCTGAGCCATCATAAGAGTGGACACTTTGGCTGCATTTCGCACATTCTTGTCCTCAATTAGTTGATCCAAAATCATGTTATAACAGAATTGGTCGGGAAATATACCAAAACCAATGCGATTGCTAATGATTTTGACTAATTGTTCCGTTTGTCGGTACTTAAGAAAAATCCTACAAAAGGAGTGATGAGTTGAGTCCAATGTATTGACAGTCTCTTTGGTTCGTCTCAATTGAAATACTAAATGCTGTAACTCTTCCAACTGTTCCTCACGAGTCACACTATTGGCAAACAAATCAATGTCTACTGCAGTCACTCTTAGTTTCTTCTGATATCTCTGATTCAGTTCATTGAAGAAGGACTCTATAAGACAATCATTTAATAATAAGACAAAGTTATCATTTGAATCATTCAATTGTCACTTACGGGCATTGATTTTGGACAACAAATCGTTATCGAGTCGGGCCTCCCATTGATTGTCACAGTTATAGGATTGACTAAGAAGTGTGCGGACAAAACACTTTGTGGTCATCGGAGGACTCAATATATTCATTGAATGAATACATTTGTGATATAATTTGAATACTTTTAATGAATTCATTGTTAAATGATTTCAAATTAATGTTTACAAAACATATTCAATTCAAACATGTGTTGAAAACTTCATTCATATTAATAATAATAATATTATAGTAATGTTATAGTAATGTAATAGTAATGCATTTGTATTACACAATAGCACTCATACGACACCTAACGTATGAAAACACTGTCTGTCAGACAATTAACTCAAACATCAATTTCTTACTATTATTATATTAAAAGCTTTCAAACGGTTCGGTTTGGTTTCGGTTTGGTTTCGGTTTGGTTTCGGTTTGGTTTCGGTTTGGTTTCGGTTTGGTTTCGGTTTGGTTTTTATGTAAATAATTATTTTTGTAATACTTAATTACATTAACATTATATAACATATAATTAATAACATTATATAATTAATATATAGTATTTGAGTGAAAAGTCAATGAATATAAATAATTTATTGAAACATTAAACATAGACATAGATTAAACATTTTATAAGTTAATAATAATTAGTTTCAATACATACAACTTAATATAAACTTAATATAACTTAATATAACTTAATATAACTTAATATAACTTAATATAACTTAATATAACTTAATATAACTTAATATAACTTAATATAACTTAATATAACTTAATATAACTTAATATAAATTACATTCAATAGTCTAAAATTGATTTTCTTCTGTTTCTTCAATGGGATCAAAGTGTCTAAAGTTTTCATAGAGTGGTGTTTCCCCATCCAAGTCATAAATTAGGTTATCTTTGTGATGATTTGATCCATGAATTAATGGTAAATCATTGTTAATACTCCTGGGCTGAGTCATTGGCTTTTTTCTAACCCATGATTTCTGGAGTCGTGACAATCGATTCGGAAGATTTCGTTTCCTGAGTCCGGCATAAACTTGACTCACGTTTTGCTTTAATTATATTTTGTGTTAAATATTGTTTAAATACATTAAATATTAATATTATAATTAAATAATTTACAATTAAATGACAATAATTATTGACTAACCTGTTGTTGAGAATCTTTACTTTTATTGATATCTACTTTTATATTTGATGTTACTTTGATATCTATTAAACATTACAAATAAAATGTTTTTAGGAAATTATATTTATATAACTTTTTAATTAAGATAAAAATATAATTATTTTATTGTGTATTTTTTAGTTGTTTTCACACATATTAAATAATTATAAGTAAAAAACTTACTTCAATTGAAAACACTTAATATGACAATACTAGTGAATTGTTGTATAATAATTGATATTAAAATATTAAAAAACACAAAATTATAAAAACATTTTCTACAAAACTCGTGTCCGGACCTCTCGTATTGTTTACAGCACTGTTGGTATCAATGACTATAAGAAAGTGCATTAATGATGATGTGATGGTGTGTTGTCAGTCACCCAAACATTATCCATATATTGTACACCAATTCACTAGTATTGTCATATTAAGTGTTTTTCAATTGATGTTTTTACTTATAATTATTTAAAAATATAATTGTTAATTAAATATAAATTATATAATACAGTATATATACATATGTATATATCCTGTATATACATATGATATGTATATACAGTGTATATAAACCATTATAAACTATACTATTATATAATAATTTTAAAATACCGGCAAAATATTCTTCATAACTCTGGAGGACATCAATTCCAAAAAATTCTGCCGTTTCGTCGGGAAATCGGAGATCAGAGAAGAATACAACGATTCCAATAAACATACAAAATATTCCTATTAAACAAAAAATATAATTAATTATATATTTTTTAAATAGTTATCAACAAAATACCATTAATAAGATTCAAGTAATAACACCACGAAAAATGTGGCATTAAATATACGGTTTGACCGCTTATGTACTGTTCAAATGGGATTCGCAATGGTATTGGATTTCTTATCAATGAATAGACTATATTAGCCGTTATTAGGGATGAGCCACACATTATGAGAAAGAGAGCGCCGTATTGTATAACCATTTGAAATAATATGTTTGACAATACAAACAGTGGCACTGATAACCTTTTAAAAGTAATATTTCACATTAAAAATTAATCAAATTATTATTATTATTATTAGATAACAAACCACATAAGGATATGTGTGTACCAACCGGACAGTCGGTAATGACGACCCCAACGAACACCTTCGCCATCAAAAGTAAAGTATTCCGCAACCCATTGGATGGGATGGGGAACACCTCTGTATTGAGACTCTCGATATTCTCTATGAAATCTTCCCGCTTTGAATAGTATTAAATTAACATTAATTATTGATAAATAAATAATTTTACAAACCTTGTGATCCAAATCCAGGTCTTCCCTGATCCCATTCCCATGAATAATGTTCATTATAATTAATAATTTCACCAAGTTGATTTTCAGGAATACCCTTAAGTGTGATATTAACTCCTTTAAGTCCTATTTTAAGTCCAATTGAGACATTGACGTGTCTACCTATGCCTGCTTTATATTGAGTATTAATGTCCACAGAATCACTTTCCCAGTGATGCTCAAAACTACACACTTTTAACATTTATTGGTTATTATTATTAACTTATTTATTAAATACTTACATAATATCGATAAACCAATGAAAATATTAGCAAAACATCGAGTGAATACACATAAACGCTAAATAAACAAAAATATTCTTAAATTACTTATTTTAGAGACAAAATTCATTTAATATTAAATACAATAAAAGCATTTTATGGAAACTATAAAAAAATCATTCATAAAGTTAAAGTCTATTAACTCTTAAATAGTTAAATATACAATATTTGAATTATGTAAAAGACATTAGAAATATTGGTCACAAATATTATTCATTTTTATTGGACTTTAATTCTTAAAAAATATTTAGCGCTACTATTATTACATTGATTTTTTTCATTAAAATATATTTTTTTGTAAAACATTAAAAAATATTTTTATAAGAATATTATACAGTATATTAAGTATATTACTCAACTCTCTCTCTCTCTCTCTCTCTCTCTCTCTCATCTAATTACTATCTATATAAAATAAATATATCACATTGTATATAGCATTAGTAAATTATCATTAAATAATTAAAAAGACTAACAAAAGACTAACTTTATTATTGCAACTATTAATGTATTTATTGTTAATACAAATATAATATATTATAACCCTATCTATTAATCTATAAGTCACTTAGTTATAACTTATAACAAAGTGTAAATTGTGACCAATAATTATCAAAATTATCATTACTCTTGTTAAAAATTGTCAAAAATTATTAACAAAAATAGAAAAATGTAGATAAATAAAAACATCTTAATATATTAATTTTATATTTAAAATAAACACCTGTTTTCCCCTAAATCCGGGTAATATAAGTAATATTGATAAGACAATGGCAGCACATGTGTAGATGATAGTCGATAAGCCGACATCGATGGCAGCATTTATCTTGTATTCGTCATAAATAGATGGATAGCCTTCAGATCTGAAGGCCTGATATAAGTTAGTATTTCTAACTTTTTCAAAGGCATCCATTGGTTTCACAAATTAATTGAAAACACTTTAGACATCATTTTTTCACTATCAATGCATTACCCAAAAGTTGTTAATAACTGTAAATAATGAAAAAGTTTAATAAAGTGTCGTTAAAGAGAAACCAAATAAAAAACGGAAACTTTATTTATCCTTTCAATTACAAACATTTTCAGTTTCCTCAGCCATACAGTAGATCCTCACTGTTAAGGAAATCAATGTTTTGCTTTTTTTAACAAAAATTATATTAAAATTTTACGAAAAATATATTAATATCTGTTAAAATATCAAAGGTTTTATGATAAAAATTAATATAAAATTATAAGAAATAGCAACAAAAAATGAAAATAATTTATCATTAATTTTATAGCTATAAATTTAAATTATAAATATTATTATTGTTTTTAATAATATGATCAGGCAGATAATTGCAGTCGAATATTATTTTAATTTTTTTAACAGTCGACTGTAAATTATCTGATCTATCATACAATTAATTAAAAACTGACCAAGTACAATCTTATTCAGTTTAAAATTATCTACAACTTTGCCCTTGGTCACTTTTTAATCCAAATTAATGTTTGATCAGATAATTGTAATTAATAGCTGTTTAAGACTCTATACATTAGTGAAAGCAAATAATTGGGTTAATTGTGTATAATTGATATTTATACTTAAATAACAATAATTGTATCAATTGTAACAATAATAAGTTTAATATAATATATTATAAGTTTCATTGAATAGTATTCTGAAAATTTATTAATTATAAAATTAGTTTCATAGCGAATGACTCGAAATACTGTTATTTTTTATATAATAATTTAAATTATAATCATTTGACAATTCTATATAGTATTTGTTAAAATCATGTTTTAGAAGTATATTATTATACATTGTTTTAAACTGTTTTTATTACTTAATCCACTTAACATCTGCTTATTTAGTCATTGACCACACATTTAGTTTAATATTAACCTAAACTCATTGTTTTACTTTTTGATTGTCTATCTTATACTGAAGTACGTAATGCGACAAACAGACACACAAACACACAAATAGATTTCACATAACAAACGAAATTTATTAAAAATGTTAAATTTTTAAAGTTATTCATTATCTAATTTTTTTATGATTTTATGATGAAATATAAAAAATAAATTGAACCGCAATTATGAAAATTTGTAGTCAAATATTTTTATTACAATATTACTCTATAAAATATAATTTTATAAAATCTAATCAAAATTAGTTTTATTTGTAAAGTATAAATGCTTTAAAAATATAAATATTTCATATAAATAAAGTAATTATTTAATTAACAAATTATCATAAATAACATAAAATTCAATATTTTTAATATACTAGACGTAAATAGCACTTTGACTACATTTATTAGCCATCAAATATCTGCCGATATATTTATAGGTCAACCCTTTATTATAAATCCCTATAGAAGTCATAGCATTGACCATAATTTACAAGTTATGTCTTGATATGCCTGTGCTATACGACTGCAACAATTAAACTACATTTGTATCTAAATTTTATATTTCAATTAAATGATTATTTTTTAAATATATGTTTTAATTAATTTTTGCGCCAAAAAATGTTAATACTGTAAAACTTTTGGCAAATGTTTTACATATTTTTTAAATTTATATTATTTGATTAATTCCTTTGAATCAATTTTAATGGTTTTAATTTAGTGTTTTTATTAAAGTTTTAAATTAATTTATGAATTTAAAACTCAGTTTTGTTTATCAATATTTAAATATAACTTTCTGATAAATTTTATATTAAACAACAATTGACAAATTCATTTCAAAATGTTTATATTTATTCAAGGGATATAAAAATATAAATAATATTTGAAATTGATCATGATCAAAAATAAGTTAAACAGTTATCATATGGTCTAAATATACATTAATTTTTTTAATTAAATATACAACATATTGACAAATACTGAGCAAATAAATAAAACATTAGTTATACAATAAATTTTAATTATGAAAAATTAATTTAAATTGCTATAGTTTTACTCATAGTAATATATTTGTTGTACTATTGAAATATTCAATAAAATATATTTTCGGTAAATCTATATATTTAAGTTGCAAAACTTATTTAGAGTATTAAAAATAAAAAACAATTTTCAGTTCAATATTATATAAATTATATTTTTAAATAAGTTTAAAATAAAATTTGAAGTATAAAAGTGATGATTACTGTATATTTCTATAGATAACTGTTATCAAAATAAAATAAATTGTGTATAAAATGAGTTTATAATGAGAGGACGGAAAGGGAATACGGTATATATATGTGTGTAAGAAGTTATGTTTTGTTGACCATTAAAAGCAATAGAAAAAAGTTTTGTTTATTATCTGAAAAGTATTGTAACAAATTTTAGATATGATTTCAATTTATAAATAAATAGTTATTGTTATAAATGAAGTATTTTATATTTGAAATACAATGAAAAAATTGGATCAAAATATGAGCCATTAAATTGTCTAAAAAACAGAAAATAACTAATAAAAAGTTATGTCAGTTAATTAAATCAACTGAAATAAATTGTCTCAATCTCTCTAAGTATTGACCGTATAGTTCAACATCATTATGACCGGCGCCCTCAACCCATAACGGTTCGACAGCTCGCGGACAGCGCTCATACATTGCCAGACCGTGAGAAAAATCAATCACTTCATCTTCAGTCCCATGAATTACTAATACAGGAGACGTCACTTTCGGCACTTTATCGATACTAAATCATAATAATAATAAATACAATAATATAGTAATGTTATGATTAAAATGAATCAATACCTGGGAAAGGCATCGAAAAACCAGGTCCTCTTTGTATTAGGAAAGGCAACTCTCATTCCTGACATTAGAGGTGAGTGAAGGATAACAGCGCCCACTTCATAGCGAGAAGCTAAGTCCACAGTAGGAACAGTGCCTATACTCTGGCCATAGAGTATCACATGTTCCGGACTTATACCATATCTAGTCCTCAATGAATGCCAGGCGGCGTCAATGTCGGCGTACAAGTTCTTCTCGGATGGCTTTCCTCCGCTGACGCCATATCCCGAGTAGTCATAACTGAAAATATTGCACCCAATCCTTGTGCCCAAACCTAAGTAAAAGCTACTCATTTGTCCCAAATCGACGGCATTTCCGTGACTGAATAATATCGTGTACTTCGGGTTTGTAGTGGCCCTCACATACATACCTGTTCAACAAAAATTTAAAAAACAAGTGAGAAAAGTAAATAATATAAAAGTGGTCAGTAGTGGTCATACATGCAATACGATTGCCGCGATTGGTCCGCGAGAAGAACACGTCGAAGGCTTCGAGTTCTCGGTTAGTGTATTGCCATTCGGCTCTTTCGGTCAAAGATAACGAATGTTTAGTCTGAGTCGTGTCACTCACCAGACTATATGTTGGTTCCGGCGGAAGGAAAGCCAATTTGGCCGCAATCTTTGCCGGACACGGAGGACAACAAAAAAGACAACACAACTCACTAAATGATAATCCATTCATTCTTTGATTGTTTGATGGCGTTGTCGTCACTTCCACTGATGGCTCACTCGAAGACATTAAGATAACAATTCAATGACATCTATCACTGCTACCACACGTCCAGAAACACCGAATCAATGGACCAAATAAGTGATCGACAAATCCAATGACAGATTTATGTAATGTTTTTATTATTTTTATAAAAACAAAACAATTAATGAATGACTGCTTTGAAGTCAAACACTATAAACACTCCATGTTTTCAATGCATTCATAAAGTGTAAGAATAATGCACTCAATCAGTCATAACTAGAGTATTGATTTCTAAGCTTTTAGTTATAAACACTATTAAATCAAAAATAGTCAAATAATTCAAATATATGCTAAATACTAATTTATAAAGTTTTTACTAATAAAAAATACAAATAAATAAATACAAAAAAATAAAGTATAATTCTTAAAACTGTGTTTTTGCTAAAGACAAAATTAATATAAATTAAAATAAATTACAAAATGACTCATATTATTTAAATCTTATACTTTTATATTAATATACTGTATATTTGATAAAATATTAGTATAAATTATTTAGTTATTCATTAATTGTTTAATTTATAATATTTGTAGTAATATAAGTATTTACCCTAAATGTTAATACTTTGGTTATTACATCAATAATACCGTTATTTGGTTACAGTATTTGCGAACAAATGATTGACTCGACAGTGAAGATCATTCACATTATAATCAAATCATACATTCAAAACATGTGCACATTTTGTACATTAATTCATTAAACATAAGTTTACAATAGATTTTATTATTTCTAATTTCATGTATAAATATTTATAATAAATTTAAAACAGTTATTAACAATATTATTAGTAATTCAAATATTTACTAATCAAAATTTTTTTAATTAAAAGAAATACAATAAAAAATTCAAACCTTAAAATAAAAGTAATATTTTATTATATTATCTCTTAAATAATTTAAATTAAATCCCTAAGTACCTGGGTCACAATAAAAGTTATATTATCATAAAACATAATGACCTAAATATAAAGTTACTATCAATAGGTACTTTCAATAGTTAATATTTATTGATTTGTAATGTATTAATGTAAGCAATTAATAAAATAATTTATCTCTTAATATCTATTCTAACAAAAATAACTAAATTATAATTTATAGAAATTGATATTTATATTAATAATTATAGTTATATTCCTAATAAACTTTTTATTTAATCATTTAATATCTGATAATATTCTAAATGATCTAAACATACAAAATACGTTACTATATGTCGAATAACTGTAATTTTACTTTAATTAATATCCAAACAGTTATTATAAATATTTATAACTTTTGTTTTATTGCGTTAACTGTTTCTATGACAACTATATTAATATACAGGTAATGTTAATTAACAGGTATTAATAATACAAATATTAAAAACATAAATTTAAAGTATTATTAAAGTATTGTATATTAAATAATAATACAAAAGTTATAGTCTCATAGATGCTGCACATGTGTACATAATAGTACATATTAGAGGGGAGAACCGAAGAGTTTTTAGGAACCGCAACCGAACCGTATCTCAAAGACAAGAACCGTAACCGAACCGAAACCGAAAAATCTGAAAATCCAGAACCGTAACTAAAACTTAGGAACCGAATGAAACCGGAACCGAACCGTAATCTTACATAAATAACGTTAATAATATTAAGGGGGTAAAAAGTGGGCTTAAAATTTAAAAAATTGATTTTCATATTTTTATTTATCGTTATAAAATACGGTTATAATTATTATATTTATTATAACATATAAACTTATAAATATAATTTTATAACTAAATTAATAATTAATTAAAAATAGAAAAATTTTAGTTAATAAATAATTAAAAGTAATAATAATTAAAAGTTATAATTAAAAGTTATAAATAATTATTTTTAAATGCTATTATTATATTATTATAAAGCAATAATAGTTAAATAAAAATATTTAATTATATTAACAAAAGTATTTCTAAAGATAATTTTATTTGTGCTATTAATTTAAACTCAAATCGGTTTTAAATCTAAAACCGTTTTTAAAACCGAAACCGTCTCTAAAACCGAAACCGTTTTAAAACCAAAAGCTAAAAACAAGAACCGCAACCAAACCAGACCTGAAAAACAGGAACCGAAACACAAAAACCAAAACCGTGATAAAACCGTTTCGGTTTCATTCGGTTTTATGAAACCAAACCGTTTCTGTTCCTCCCTCTAATACATATCACAGTTTCGACTAAAATCAATGTAAATCAGTCGTGTGATTATTAAGAAAATTTATTTACAAATATTTATTATAAAATATACAGTAGTAAAAAAATATGAATACATAAAAAAATATAATAAAGTTATTTTAAATGATAATTAGAATAAAAATTAATTGCATAATATTCCCTATAAAATCCCTATAAAGTTACCATAAATTCACTATAAAATTCCTGAAAAAAAGAAAATATTAAAAACTTAATTCCTTAATATAAATCGTATTTAATAACAATTTATATATTAATTGTATTATTATTAATATTATATTAAAATTATATAATAATTATCGATATTATTATCAAACTTTTATCTATGAGTAAAATATTTATCAATTTGTTTGCGAATATAACGTAAAGTAAGACAAATTCACAAACCATTTGAGTGTTTTTACTCTGTATTTATTACAAGTAGTGATGTTTGGAATAAATTTTGATAAAATTTAACAAATTTAGTTTAAATATTAGATTAATTTATTAAGTAAACATATTAATTTTTAAGTTAAATATATCAAGTTGACTATGTTAATATTTTATATGATTAAAATTAAATATAGAATTACCAAATGTATTTAAATTATTTATAAAATTATATAAAAATAATTAGTTAACTAAATTTTTATTATTATTTAAAGAATGATATTTGATAATTTGTTAATTATATTGATTAAATTATCAATTATAAAATCTTTAAAAATTAAATAAATTACAAAATTTTACATACATTTAGTATACAGTATGTTGAGATAAATTTATTTTAAAAATTTCATAAAATTTTTATCACTACTTATAATAATAATAATATTACTTTACTGTCACGTGATATGTGAGTGATATAAATGTATGGAATTGATTGAGTGAATGACATGAATGCAATAATGGCTTAATTGTTAATTGAAATCTAATTGATGTAAACGTATTAATTGATTGTTAGTTAAGTCCTTTTATTTAATTAGAACAACAAAATTGGTTACAAATGTCTAAATGTTTTGTCATTTACAGTGAATTTGATTACAATTGAAGCAAACAATCGGTGTTTTGATGTAATGTTTGTTTGACTCAATTGTTTAGCAAATGTTGTAAACATTGAGTTATGTTTTGATTTTAATGATTATCATTGAAATGGTGTATCACTTGTGATCACATCCCAAATGGATATGTCTTTGCCTCGAAACCAATCACTTCTGGAGAAGTGGTTGGAAGACATGCCTAACAGTAATAATTCAGTGAATGTCAAGAAAGAGAGGAAAGATGTGTTTCGCGACATATTTGCCACCAATTCGTCGTCGATGTCATCAAACATATTGAACGGCTTCTCGAGTGGATTCTTCGGTGGATCTAATTTATCGATGAATGGGTTGACACAAACCAATGATAACTCAATGACCGCAACCAATAAAAATGTGACGACAAATACAACTGATTCAAAGGTAAGGATTTATTAGTTTTTTATGAAAACGTTTAGTTAATAATAAAGTGAATTACTTAAGACAAATGATGATCAAAATGAAGACAAGTTATCGGAGAATGCTGTGGATGTGACCAGTATTAAAGGCATATTCGGGTGGCAATCAGTCAATGACATACCATTACCAGTGATTCTCCGTGAAGATGAAAAACTGGTTGCCGTCAGAATTGTTGAATCAAAGGTATAGATTTAAAATAATTTTAATTGATATTGAAATTGATGTGTATTTGTTGATCCATTAGGTGATAGCTAAGTTCAGTGCATATCTGCCGTGGAATGTGTTTTCATGTATTAACATAAAGAGTTATTATGTGACCGACAATGAGTCTCGACTTCTTAACGATATAAACTCGAATCACTGCGAACTACAGTACGGTTGCGAACCGTTTACTACAAAAGATGTGGTCGTCTGTATAGAAGATGTCAACACATTATATAAATTTTTAAGTACCAGTAAAGAGATATTTCATTTCGGACTTTCCAAGAGTGGTATTGATTGGTTGGGTTTCATCAATATTTCCGGTTCCCATATAATCCCATATATTGCCAAAAGAAACGAAAATTCAAAAGAAGTGGCTAAATATGTGCCCAAATCATTAGTTCAACAGATAGTACTGTTAGTTAAAGTGGATAAGATTGAGATGACTGAATGGGACGCCAGTTATTTACGAATGCTATGCACTTATGCATCACTTGATCACATCCAGATCCAGTCCAATGACTCACTGTGTCTTCTCTCAGACCTTAAATGGGATGCATCTCTATGTCCTCTACACATTGAAGAGTGCAGTCCTCCTAACTCTAAGCCTACAAGCAGTCCAACTGTGTATTCAAGTTCTTCAGCATTGTCCCGACCATCTACTCAGACATTAAATGACTCCAACAATTGGTTGATGACATCCCAGACAACCAATTCATCAAATGCTTTGCGTGGATTACATCAGATTACAAGAGCCGAAATAAATGGTTTTTCTCTTAAAGCAATTAACTTAAAGCCATACTCAGCACAACAAGCAGTGTTTGTTAGTGATGTGGTGACCAAAATGTTTAGAGGCGTCTCTATATTAACAGCTCATTACATACTTGAAAAGATACTTCAAGTCAAGCTATATGAGTGCACTCGGTATGTCTTCACCAATACAATCAATTATACACTCAATAGTATTAAAGTATATTTAGTTTATATAATAACATTAGTGAAAATTCTTTTAGATGATCACAACATAAATTGTTTATATTGTAGTTCATAGAAGTTTGGAAATTAGAGAGAGAGAGAGAGAGAAAGGGTTATAATTATTGTTTAAATATAGCTAATACTTACCCGTAATATTGTATAATATTATGTCATAATAATCATGTTTCAGTCGACATCATATTTGAATAGATTTACTTATTTTAATAATTATGACATTTCTTTAATTACATTACCAGTAATATATACTACAGTATAATGTCTAATACTATATAATTTTTATGATAATAGACTACATGAGGACGCATTTGTGAGAAGTGGTGTCCGACCTCTTCAGGGCGACAAATTGGTTGCCGTTGATGTCCTGAGAAGATGTTTACCACAATTACGTGAAATTATTATCGCAGGAATGCCAGCCATTCCTCATACATAACATTAGTTTAATTTTTACTTTTCATACCACTTGTAAATATATTTTAACTAATTTATTATTTTAAAGTATTTTTCAATATCGTGTAAATTATTTAATTTTGTATAAATTATATTAACATGTTAACTTTTTTGCAACAAATGATAAATATAACTCACTTAATATTATTTTCTAATTATATTTAAATTTATTGTAATGATATGAATATAAAAATGAGTGACAACTAAACAATAAGTAAATTGTGGTAATAATAATAATAATAATAAATCAATCATCAGTTCGTTGTCTAACATTACGCTCGGAACCGGTTTTGCGTTTTTTGAACAAAACTTTTTCTTCTGTTTTAATTCCGAATGAGATCTTATGTTTGAGTGAATCAATTGTTTTTTCTTTGAATTCTATTCTTTCATCTTTTGGTTGATCGGAAACAATTGGGGCAACAATTTCTAACTGTTGGTCCGGTAACTGTAAATCAATCATTTTATCGTCAAACTCATTGTACTTCACTGTTTGCCATTTGCCATAAGGATTGTACTTAAAAGTAGATGATTCTGGTGTCCAATCATTAGCGGGGAATATATTTGATGTATGTTTTTGTTCTTCAAGCGAAAGAAATCCGCATTTCGGTGGTTCCCATATGGTATCTAAAATATGATAACAAATATTATCAAACATTAAATTAATGTAACAAAAAAAATAATTTCAAACCATTTGTTTCTTTATTCACGTAAAACGTTTTTCCTTCGGATGTCTTTTTCTCTAACCATTTGCTCTTTTTCTCCAATTTTTTGGAGATTGTTTCGAGAGCTCGTTGTCGGCCATTAACTAATGTTGAACTTTCTTCAGACGCTGAAGAGTCGTCACCAAAACGAGAAGTAGATATCAATTTAGTGGAAGTCTCGGGAATATCTATTTTCTTATACAACTTTATATTTGTATTAAACTCTTTAGCCAACTGTGGATTGTTTTGGACATCACTTTGAAATGCTTTCATAGCTTTTGACTCTATTTTCATCATTTCTGAATTATATAACATTTCCTCCTTTTGCTGTTTTGATCCTCTCTTTTGTAACTATTGTGACAATAAGTTCATTATATTATCAACTGGTCATCAAATCAATGGTTATAACACTTACTTCTTGTAATTTTTTCTTAACATTTGTCTTATGATTCCAACCTCTTTCGTGAAACTCAACGCTCTTTATATAAAAACAAAAATAATATTAATTCAAAATAATTAGTAAATTGTGTCTCAAATATCCGATTGATCATCAAATTGGTGACCAAAACTTACGGCTTTATTGTCCGCAAACCAACACTTGCAGAAATCGCAGTACTTCTTCGGTAATGACTTCCAATAGTCAGCCCTTAAGTGATAATAAAGTAATTAACTATTGATTAACTAATAATTATTATAATTATTATAATCACAAATAAATTTACTTACATTTTGTCGATCAAAGCATTGATTAAATAAAATGTAAACAAAAATAAAGTCAAAGCAATAAAATTGATGTCAAAGTCATAAACAAATTACTAATAAATTACTAATAAATTACAACTAATTATTTAATTGACATTTAAATGTAATCTTAAATTTATTTCTATTTATTTTTTGGTTAAATTTATAACATTATTATATCATTTATTTTATTAATAATAAAATAATGTAAGAAAACAATTTAAATAATAATAATATAATAAATATATTAAAAATAAACAATAAGTTAATGAAAGACATTATTTATAGAGAAAGAGATGAATGAATTGAGTCATTGTTTTGATGACTGTTTTGTCAACAGTTGTGTTGATATTTAAACACCAATTGACTCATTACTTGTGTCCCTATAATGGGTAACCTCTTCGGTAAATCCAAGTCTAAGACCATAAAGAAAGATCTGATCACTGAAGCGGACAAAGCTATACTGGTTTTTGCATTTTATTAAATGTTTTTAATTAATTGATGACTAAATTGATTGAATTTCTTCATTTGATAGCAACTCAAACAACAGAGAGATTCAGTGAAACGATACCAGAAGAGGATCATTGATGACATTGACAAAGAAAGACAAATTGCCAGACAATTGGTTAAAGATAATAAAAAAGAGTTGAGTCCAGCAATTGATTTCAATATTTTACTCGACTTTAAACTAATTTGTTTTATAATTTAAAGGAAAGCCCTTCTGTTGCTTAAAAAGAAGAAATATATGGAAACCATATTAGAGAAGACCGACAATCAGTTAATCAATTTAGAGAAACTGGTGTCTGATATAGAGTTCAAACAAATTGAGACCAAAATTATAGACGGACTTCAAACTGGAAATGAAGCGCTCAAACAATTACATCAAATATTATCAATTGAAAAAATTGAAGACATTTTAGAAGAAACTAAAGAAGGAATTGAAAAACAAAAGGTAATCTAAAGTCTTGTCATTTTTAATGATTTTTATAACTGATTACTAAATTGATTTATAATTCAGGAAATCGATGATCTTTTACTTGGACTCAACATTGAAACAGACGAAGAAAGTCTGCTCCAAGAATTAGACCAAATGTTAGATCAAACTACAGATAATTTGCCTGAAGTACCGCAAACCGAACGTAAGTAATATTACTATATTAGAAATATCGTTGAATTATTTTTTTTTTGTCATAAAGTGGTAATCGAAGAGAAGACAAAAGAGAAGACACCGACCAAAAGAACCAAAGAAGTGGAAGCGCTTCTCGAGTCATGAAATTAGTCATAAATTATTTATTAATCCAGAGATCAAATTAATATATTTGTATTTTAATATTTATTAATAATTCGATATTTTTTTATTAAAATATCTCTTTGTATTTCAATTGAATACTACGGTAAATGTTTACAAATCGATATCTTTGAATACAATATCATTTACTATCAAAAATAGTTTCAAACGGTATCGCTTGTTAATCACTTATAGATTAAATGGCGATAAATTGAGCTCACGGCGAATGTAGAACAGGATATAGGCTTTACTCTGGGCTACCGTTTCCTCATCACATACAGTAACTGTACTATCATTGAAATGATGCCACATATCTATTCAAAATGTCATCAAATAATCTTATTTAGTATTTATGTAATTAATGGTAATTTTTAAAAAATCAAAAGTAAACCTTCGTGTGTGGCATAAGAAGTATAATGTCCAGAACCGGCTCCACTTCCGTGGTGTACAATAACAGCCGCCAAATCATAGAAAGGACTTCCACACGCATTGCCTCGGGTTTCATGCTATCAATTGAGTTATGCATTAAAAATAAATCATTAAATTATTTATAACTATATTACTAACCATATTAGACAAAACGTATTTACTCATATCGAGTCCTTTTACTGGAAATTCAATATAATTATCTAATTTGGTTCGAAAAAAATTATTCCATCGAAAACGTTTCAAATGAAGACAAAGAACCTGAGGTTTAAATTAAAAGAAAAATTAATAATATCTTTCATATAAATGATTTAAACAAACTGTACATTTGGTAGTCTTCTAATCCAAAAGCGTTTTGTTGACCTCTGCTTTTGTTTACAATTTGGACAGTTATAGAGTTCAGTTTCTGCTAGTTCTTCGAGTTCAGTAAAACTTGATAAACAGTCTGTTAAATGATAATTTTTGACCACTTCTTCAGTGCCACCGTTCTTAATGGATGAATATAGTTGAGGAATGTCTAGGGATAAGTCAAGAAAAGGATCGTGTTTTTTGGACTCATTGCCGCACACCAGACAAGTCACTTCATTTTGAAGAACACCGCCAAATATGGCCGTTACTATTGTTGATTTACCCGTCGGTAATAAATAAAGATTTTGTGTGTTATGTCTTTTAGTTGGATACGGAAGTATTCCTAATAGTTCCGTATGAAGTCTGTCTAACATATAGCGCAAAAACTCGTGAGCGTCTTGTTGTTGATACCCTCGAAAACGTGGAACTACTTTCCATATCACAGCAAATAAAGATTCGGGAGAAATGGCAGATTTACTCCCCTCCCACAGAGACACCAATGTCTTGCGCAACTCTTCAGCTAATAGGACATCTCCATCGCTCATGCGTTTTGCCGAAACAATTGAATTTCGGCTACCATTCCATCGATGTTTATCCAATGATGGCAATTGTTTGAAATAACAACTAAATTGTTGAATATTACTCAATGATTGGAGAACTGCATTCATAAAACACGTATTTCCTAAGTTCCGCAGTCCTGCGGCTCGAGCTTTGGCCAGCCTTTGGTTGGTTTTCATCTGATAAGAAATTTTAAAAAATAAAACAATGAAAATAAAAAACACTAATTAATTAAATAAAATGTTAAATACTTTTTTATTATTAGACTTTTGTTGGTTTTCACTCTTTTTTTTAACTCCATTAGACTTATGAGAGTTTTGTGCGTTTTGTTGATTTTGTCGGCAATTCTCTGGACTATTGATGCAAAAGATATCAATTAGTAATCAATTATTAATAATATAAATAAAAATAATAATAATATACTCAATGTTTGATTGAAATTTGTTTCTTAAATGATGTAAATGTCGAGATCGGGTGTCATTAATCACAAAGTCATCACAGAGATAGCTATTGATAACAAACAATACTATTAATAGCATTAATCGTGTGATTGTCTAAAAATAACACACATTTGGCTTCCAATGTATGGATCAATTGGTGATAAATGTGTTAACGACTTACCAGAAGACGGCGAAAGAGGTGCAGTCAAAGCAAAGCGAGTGTTCGGGAATTTGTTCGAAGTGTTGCTTTGCGTGTCCGCACACATAGCGTCCGCAACCGATTTGTCCGCAATGGACACAAAGCCACGAACTCTTCTTCGACTTACAGACCGAACACTCAAACTCTGCCGATTGGATGAGTGTCTTGAGTTGCAAACTGTTGGCCACTTTAGTGCCGTTCAGGAGACACAAGTGCGGGCACTCCATCACTGCCACTACCGATTCAACCACTGAATCCAACCGATTGTTATCAATAATACTGTCCGTCAAAGCAATTGACTGATAAACATATGATTACTTTGTTGTCAAAAGTGGTGTCCAATTGATTGCAATTGTATTGCGATTCACACATCAACTCAAACAAAGACAAACAGATAGACATTCAATGCATTCAATGTATTATAATATCAATGCATGAAATCACTGACTCATTGAAAACTTTTCGAGCACTCTATCACTCACTCAATGTATTCAATGTATTCAATATTGAATGCACTCTACAGTACTGTATATTACTATTGCTATCCCTTTATCTCATTTGATTCAACACTCAAACAACTACTGTATTATTACTATTGAATTCATTGTATATTATATTATGTATGCATTCATCTGACAATTGATTTGATTAACAATTATTGTATTAATAAAATAATACACAATAAGTCAGTTCATCATTTAAATACCAATCAATACTAAATATTAGTAAATTAAATACATTTATTATAAATAAATATATAATTAATTAATTTCAAACAAATATAGCAATAGTCTAACTATACTAACAAACTCTGTAATAAATATTGATATTTCAATGTTTGTGTAAAAATATAAATCAAATAAAACATTATTTGATTTATATATTGAGTTATTATTGATTAATATATTAATTGTTTTTATTATTCATTTATTTTTTTATTTACCAATAAATGTCAAATAAATTACAAATCGTAACGATATATATGAATGTATTGAATGTATTAATAGTGAAGAAGTTGTGGACATAATTGAGTGATAGTTAAGATGTCAAGTGAAGAGCCATCGAAAGAGTCGGTCACCACTAATAGGTGTCAGTTCTTCGTCAAGAAGAGTAATACGAATCGTCGTATTCGTCAAAAAGTCAGTCGACAGTCGTCTTCAAGTGACGCGTCCGACGAAGAGTCGTCTGTTGTGGTGAAGAATCGTAAAAGAGATGCAAATCCTATGATTCAGTCAACGCTTTCATTTAATAAACTAAAGAAACAAAAGAATAATTCAGAAACAAATGATATCAATGAAGAATCTGATAGTGAAGATAAAGACTCGTTTAGATTTACTTACCGCTCGAATAAAAGCGGACAAAGAGAGGGACCCGAAGATATGGGCGCCACGTCTATCATACAGACGGAAACTGAGAAGGAAAAGGACGCGCAAAGTATTTATCAAAAGGCTTTGGAAGTAAATAAAGAGCTCAAAGGCAAAGAAGATGACCACATATATCGTGGTATTAATAATTACACCCAATATGTGACCAAAAAAGATACTCCGATGGGCAACGCATCCTCAGGACACGTCCGCAGAGGTCCCGTGAGAGCGCCCGAAAATATTAGATCAACAGTACGTTGGGATTATCAGCCAAATATCTGCAAAGACTATAAAGAAACGGGATTTTGTGGTTTTGGTGACAGTTGTATATTTCTTCACGACAGAAGTGATTATAAGGCCGGCTGGCAGTTGGAGTTAGAGACACAACGTAAAGATGACAACGATGCCGATGAAGATCCCGATAAATATGTCATCCAAGAGGATGACAATCTCCCCTTTAAATGTCTTATTTGTCGCGAAAGTTTTGTATCACCCGTTGTGACAAAATGTAAGCATTATTTCTGCGAGAAGTGTGCTTTGAATCACTTCAAGAAGACCGGCCGTTGCTATGTCTGTCAGCAACAGACTGGAGGTGTCTTTAACATCGCTAAAGAGCTCATTAAACGACTTGAACAACACAATCATGAACTTCCTGAAGACTCCATTTCAGAACCAATCAATGAATTTGAAAATAAAAGTGAAGACGAATTGCAGGAATCAGATTGTGATGACTCTGAAGATTAAGTCATTTGTTGAACTCATTTGTCGTTCATTTGTTTATTTGTTTGAATTAAATAAATGTTTTCATAAATTATAATTTGATCGTTATATGAAATCTATTTGTTTGTCTGTCTGTTTGTTTTTTGCATTTTTTGTGATTTTTAAAGTTTTTACTTAAGAATATCAAAAACTATAATTAGGAATGTTTTCTATAATTTTATTTAAAAATGTCGACCAAATGGCAAATATATTTTTTTCAAACAAATTTCCCAAATATTTGTTACTTTTTTAATAAATCTACTTTATATTTGATTAACTAAGTGATTAAGTGGGTGAGTGGGTGAGTGTGTTACCAATAAAGTGGGTGATAAATGGGACAAAACAGTTGACAAACAATTATTAGATATAAATTTTCTCGAAGTTTATTCTGTCAATGCTATCATAATATTTTTGATTGATTTTCATTAGGTTTCATAAAACTGTCACTAAATTAATATTCAATACGTGTTTGTCTTAACAGATGTCTCCACACGTGTCGCGAGTTTTCCTTCGATTTCTAGAATAATTGTAAACAAAAAAAGTCATCAAAAAAGTGACGAAATATTGTCAAAAGATTACCGAAAATAGCCATCGATTGCAATGTCTTTAAGAGATGTCTTAAACGCATTCTTCAGATTTAACGAACCAAATGAAGACTTGTTTGGTCGTCAGTGGAGTCCATTGGTTGAGGACAGCGATGACCACAACTTTGGTTCGCAAATGAATCGCGACTTTCTGGAAATGACAAAACAATTTGAAGTATTATTTGATTCAATGAACAATATGTCGATATTTAGTGATCCAAATCAATGGCAAGAAGTGGACAAAAACACAAATGTCAGAGATTTGATGCTTAAGTCAAGTGAAGACAAAAGAAACTCACAAATGGACACCGATTTAGACACAAATGTTGGCCAAAAAGGTTTGGATGTTGTCTTGAAAGACGGTCCGACCTATGAATGGTCTAACTCAGTGACCACTCCCTCACAGACCCGAAGTTTTATCAAAACTTATTCTTACAGTTCAGTCAATAATAACGGAGTAATTTTATCATAATTTTTAAATTTTTTTATCAATTTTTAATTAATTATTATTTAATTTTATTAGCGATTTGAAGAACAGAAGACTTGTAACGACGGCAATGGAAACACAGAGACGTCAATCACTCAACGTATTGGAGATAAATATGTGACAAAAATTGTCAAAAGAGACAAAAATAATGAGATCATCGAAACCAAAGAAGTGGTCAACAATTTGGATCAAAGTATGCATTTTTAAATAATTTAATTATTAAATCTTTAATTTTTATTTCTCTTAAATGTTTTTTCAGATGAAGTCAATGACTTCAAGCGTCAGTTTGGGCCAAACGACGATAACATAAGTAACACTATTATCGATAGACCTCTTAATCACTTTAATGATCAAAATTCAATTTTAAGACGATTTTTCAACTTTCCCTTTAAATTCTAAACTATTAAGACTTGATTTTTATGATATTCTCCTTCATTTTCCTGTAAAGTATTATAAAATTGATTTATTATATTATATTTATTTTTAAAAATTGTATATTAGAAAAATTCTTGTAAAAAGTTATGTATAAAAAAATTATTTTAAAAAATAAAAAGAGGTTTAATAAATAATATCATAATATAACTAACGGTATATATCTGACAATATTTCAAAGATATAATTATATGACTATTAATAAATGGATAACACATTATATAATTGATTAATAAATGTTAGACTTTTGTGTTGCGAACCAATACTTAATATATCATCAAATTATTTGACATAATTATTAATTAATGATTAAAACAATAGGACATACAGTAGTAGTAAAGCAATCGGTAATTAAAAACTTATTAATTGTCTAAAAGTTGGACAATGAGGTCACGTGACTGTTACACACTTACATCATATGGAAAATGCATTAAACGATAGCATCGATAGTATGTATGATATGTCTCGTCATTAGTATTGCTCTCAACATAGCATACATTGATCAGCTGTTGTCCACAATTGATGCCACGCTGGAGATCAACAAATATTACCATTGTTTTTATCAATTGATACATTTTAATCATAATAGTTATCAATAGTTTTAATGACAATGAAGTTAAAACAATTGAAACGCAACGGTGTGTTGAGTTGGTCGCCGACCCGACAATACATGAGACTCGCCATCGGAACCACTGCTCAACAGTTTGACACTAACTTCAGGTTTGTTTGCTTCTTATGATTACGACTGTCATTATTGTCATCTTTGATAGTATTTGTCTCTTTTGATAATTAAAATAATTGTCATCATATTTATCACTATATAATTAACAAAATATCATATAATTGTGAAAACAATTAAACCTAATGTTTGTCAAAATGTAATGTAAATCAAACATATTTTATTGATTATTTGATTTATTATATCATTTATGATATTTTATTATAAGATTATAATATTAATCACATTATCTTAGTTGTCATATACTTCTTAAATTGATTCAAATTAATGGATTAATTAATACTAATCATTAAAAATTGATATTAGTTTTAAATCAATTATAAAATGTTAATTAATTTTATTAGAAATTAATAAATAATTAATAAATAAATATATCATAAAATTTACTTAAATTGTGTTTCAATTTATAGCAATGACAGCAAACTAGAGATCTTTGGTCTCAATATAGAAGAGATCAGTGAAGAAACTCGTTTGTTATCATCACAAGTGGTTAACAATACATTTACTTGTCTTGGATGGCATAGCAGTGCACTTATTGGTGGCACTCATCTTAAGACATTACAGGTTTATATTAATTAAAATTAATTTTTAACACATTTAGTAATATTATTGTTTTAATATTGTAATAAAGTTTTACGACACGACAAACAATGAAATTAAATTAATATATGAAACTGAAGGTCAAACATCTGGTATCACTTGTCTGGATATAAATCCCAAAGAATTGCATACATTGGCCATTGGTTCTGAAGATGGATCAATTGGCATTTGGGATATTGAGAGCAAAGGCAAACCAGAGAAAAATATAAATCTGAATTCATCGACAGCTAATGACTCAATAAATGTGGTTAAATGGAACCGTCAGGTGAGCTCAATACTGGCCGAAGCCTCCAATTCCAACATTCAGGTTTGGGATACACGTAAAGCAGTCAATAGCGGACCAATAATGAGAGTTCACGACACTAATGCTACTTCGCTTTGGGGAAGTGGTCAACAATCGCTTATGATTTCTCGATCACTTGTTTGGTCAGAATCCACTTCAACTACTCTTATTGTGGCCAACAGTAATGATGCCAATCCTATTATCCAATTATGGGATTTGCGATACGCCACATCTCCTCTCAATCACTTTAAAGGAGGTCATACTCGAGGAATACAAAGTATTTCTTGGAATAAATTTGATGAACGACTTTTGTTGTCCGCCGGTAAAGACAATGTTGTTTGTCTTTGGGATCCGACTTCTAACGTGAATGAGGAATCACTTCAAGCATTTATACCTTACATAACAAATCAATGGATTTCTGACATTGATTGGTGTCATTGGGAACCGTCTCTATTTGCTATTAACTCGTTTGACGGCAACACTACTATCTATAATATAACACAAACCAATTGTTTGAATCAAACGAATACAAAAGTTTGTTGAAATCTATTTCACGTAAATTGTTTGTTATATTAATTATGTTTTTTTTAGATATTGGAGTCATTTGACTTAAACACAACAAACCAATTTGTCCAACAAATGCAACCTTCCGTCCAGAGACCACCCATTATAGCTAAAGCTCCCAAATGGATGCGCTCTCCTTGTCGACCATCATTTGGGGTCAGTTAAGCATTTTAATTACGATTTTTTTGCTAACAATTCACTAATACAACTGATTGATAACACATGTTATGATTATTTGTTTTAACAGTTTGGCGGAAAATTAGTCACTTATAATAAAGTCATTTCTCAAAGTCAGACACAACCACCCGTTCAATACACTCAACACGTATTGAATATTTATCACGTGATGATTGATTCAGAGCTGATAAGTCGATCCGAAAAACTTGAAAACGCATTAAATAACGGAAACTTTTCCGATTATTGTCGCTATAAAATAGCAGAACATTCAGACAATGAAAACTTGTCAAATGCCTGGAAGTTAGTTGAGTTACATCTTGAAAGAGATCCACACAAACAAAGAGATTGTTTGTTACAAATTATAGGCTTTAATGATATGAATCAAATGAAAAATAATATGAATAATATCAACAATTTGTGTGATTTAACAAATAGACATTTGACTACAAATATTTCACCAAATATTGTGAATAATTTTAATTCAAATGCAGTCATTGATAATAATTATAATGAAACTATTTTACAAAAACTTGCCGATAATGTGTCAATTGAAACGACAGGTCATACATTAGGTCAGAATATCAATCGTGGGATATTAAGTGGTAATCTGGAGCCCGTTATTAAAGATTGTATAGAAAATAACAACTGGACGGAAGCTATACTCTTGTGTTGCTTTGTATCTCCTGAACACACGGCCTCTACTTTACGTCAATATTTTGATTATATTGTTTCGTCAAATAACAACTCGTGGTCTCCATTACTTTGGTGTATTATATCAGCGCAAACTACCACTGATGACGAATCATTGATTCATATTTATGAAGAACTTGTTCTTAAGTTTGAACTCAAATATTGGGCTCAAGTTTTGGCATTTATTGTTAAAGAATCGGACAATTGGGACGATTCCAATACAAAAGTTTATTTAATTAACAAATTGGCTAAACGTTTGATGGATAGCTATGTGGACACCGGCTCTAATAATTGGTTGAACGCTGCGATGTATTGTTATATAATAAACGCTGACTTCAAAAATATATCAAAGTTTGTCCCATTTGGTAGTCATTTGGATCGCATAGAGTTATCATTAATTCTTCAAAAGTCAACTAACACTCCATTTTCGACCAATCAATTGACAGCACATTACGCAAAGTTATTGACTGTCGAAGGAAAGCTAGATTTAGCCCTTAAATACATTGACGAGAATGAAGTCGAACTTAAAGATAGAATTATTAATAATTTACAACCAAATAGTAGACTATTGTCTAAACAAACTCAAGTTACCACTACTTCTCGATTTCAAAAGATTCCGCAAACATATAACAGAACCAATGCTTATCCAACCACTGCAACACCCGTCCCAACACCTGTTCAATATAATTCTCCGTACGGAACATCAAATATGGGACAACTTTATGGTCAGCCATCTATTCCTCCAATGTCATCGCAACCTCAAACACCTTCACCATATGGAGCTCCACCACTTGGGAACTTCAATCCAAATAGCACTTCAATTCAAGGACCACCACCAATGATTCCACAATTACCGGTAACACCAATGATGTCTAGTATGCCACCACCACCACCACAATCAGTAGGACCATCAACCCATCAAGGTCCAATCAATTATGGTGCACCAGCTTATCCTACACCACCTTCGTTTGTACCAACTGTTCCTTCGGGACCAACTCAACCGGGAATGTATACACAAACACATACTCATTCAATGACATCACATAATTTTGGTGATTTACAATATACACAGCAAGATGTTAGTCCCGGTTGGAATGACCCACCCGTTCCAACTAAGTCTAGACATAATTCTTTTAGCTCAACACACCATCAAAAACTTTTGTTGAATCCACTTCAAGGAAATACTATAACAACACCATTACCTGTAATGGAAAACGAAAGAGTGACACAAAACGTAGCACAAGTAAGTCAACATCCAGTTCCTATAGTCGAACCACTTTCACCACAAAACCAACTGATATACGACTCATTTCTTCGTTTGGTAACAAATCTACAACAAAGCCCTCACTCACAAGCATTGAATATTCGCCGAAAACTTGAAGACTCGAAACACAAATTAGAAACATTAAGAGTAAAGTTAGCTCCGAGTGGTAATCTATCGGGTAATACAATGCAAGGCTTGAATCAAATCGCGACGGCTATCGATCGCAATGATTTTCACACAGCACTGGGATATCACGCAAATCTAGTGGCGGCCACCACTTTCGGGGAAACGGCCGCTTTTCTGCCCGCTATTAAAGTTATATTACAATTAGCTCTGCAACGGTTTCACACTTAAAGAGTAATTATTTAAACTATAATCAGATATAAAGTTATTTTATTGAAATTAACTGAAAAGGATCTCTTGTTTGGAACACTTTTCCAATTCTACCACAAGTTTCGATAGCATTTGGTTTGTTTTATATGTTTCCAAGTTTGCCAACAAATGATAGATTTGTACTTTTAATCGGTCAAAGCTCTGGTGTTTAAAAATAATGTTAATAATAATGAAATTATCAGTAAATATAAAATTTGAAAGAAGACCTCAATCAGTGAATTTAGTGCCTCTTCATTGTTGTCATTTGTCTTCAATTGTTCGCATAAAGAGTAGAGTTGTTCTAAACATTTGTATATCTTTATAAAGAATAAAAAATGTGTTTTAAGATTATTGTAAAATATTGTGATTTAATGAGACATTTAATACCACAGAAGTTTTCAGGAATAACTGTCCGATAATGTCTGATAACAATATTTGGTGATCTTTTTGAATGTCTTCGATATCACGCGTTTTCTCTATTTTGTCGGTAAAACATCGAAAATGACGTTCAATGACATCGACCTGAAGACAAGTTTTAAATATAATTATATTTATAAGCGATTATGTGATAAATTACTTGTAATACTTTAAAATAATAGAAAAAAGCATTTATCATATATGAAAGCGAATTCCTTAGAGTTAATGCTTTTAACTGAACCGATGATAAGTAAGTGCCTCTTGTTTTACATTTAATAATTTTGAGCCAAATTTGGTTCAATTGGTAACGCAATAAATAGATATTTAGCATAAATGACATTATTTTGTTGTATCTGTTAAGATATACAGTAGAATATAACAATTAATATTTCAATAGATATTTCAAATAATTAGTAATTTACTTATCAAAACATAGGTTTGAAATTATAGTTTGAAGATAAGTCGGTATTTTGTAATTTAATGAAATTGTGTAATCTTTTGGTTCTTCAGATGTAACGATAGAAAAATTAGATAAAACTTCATTGACTTCATTCTCATTGAAGACCTGATGCAATGTCTTTTGAAAAGCTGTCTCAACATCTGAAAACATAAATTATTAAAATCTAATGAAACATTTGTTTTGATACCAACCAACCTATTCGGTAGCGTTTATGACCATTCAATTCAATTAACGAAATGTGTGACACAAAACACGACCAGAAGTTGTCGTTTGCCATTAAATAAAAACTCTTTATTGTCTTCAAATGGTGTTTCAGTTTTTCCACATTCATTACATATTTCCAATTCTCCTACAGTTTACAAACAGATGATAACTTCTTTTAAAAAGAACTGTTAACACAAACCTCTGAAACGATTTGTCGGACAAATTCGATGAATTGTGTGAAAGAATTCTTATCAGTTGATGACTTATTCTTCATGTCGTTAAAGCGATCAAACATTTCATTTACTCTTTCTTTATATATGAACGGAACTGTTATCATATAAAGATAAAAACAATTGATAATGAAATCATCTTATCTTAAATTGTGTATCACTTACTGCCGCGACTTTGAGCCAAACGAACACTTTCTCCGATCTGATGAACTTTGTTGGCGTCTTCTGGTTTCATAAACGGTGGAACACGACTCATATCAAGCACTGTCTTATTATTATCTTCTTTAATAAAAAAGTAATTATCAGTTTTATGACTTAAAAACCCAAACATAATCCACGACCAGATGTCTGAATACAAAGTATCACTATTTTCATAAATCCTTTTATTTATATAATAAACAAAATTAATATTTTAGTGATTGATTTTGATTAAAAAAGACATACATTTTTGCGCATTTCTGTATCTGAGAAAATCCTGACAAAGAATTGTCTTTAAGAAAGTCGAGAGTTGTAGCAAACGATTGCTAAAAACAAAAATTCATTAAAAATCTCTTCGCAATTGTGATTGTCTTATAAATGGTTTACCGGACTCTTATTAAATTGATTTATAATATGATGAAGAAAATCAAATGTTTGGCAATACTATGAATGAAAAAGTTTAAGACATTGAATACCATTGAATGATATGATTACTTATCATAAGTATCTAAAGTATTACTTTCAAAAATTTGTTGAATTTAATCAAAGAGTAATCGATATCTCTGTGTAAATCCATTTCCACTTCAATTAAATCATTTCTGTAATCAGTCATCAGTTTATCCATAGTTTGAGCCAATTGTCGATTATATGGGTTGGCGTCTGAAGTGATAATAAAATAAATCAATTAGTAATTCAACGATTATATTAACCATCAAATAAACCACAATTACCTGAACCAAAGTGTCGGATAAATTTAGTAATAATTAAGTAATTGTTTGACAACACGAGTAAAATATCAATTAAATTGATTTCTGATAAACCAATTGATCCATTCATTTGACTCTCAGACCAATCAAATTGTTTGCATCGATTCATGTGTTGATTGTCCACCACTTTGTCCACCAAATCGCCGTCAATTCCCTCCAGACTATAGAGTATCTCAAAGAGTAGACTCCTTTTGTCTTTGAATATCTGATGAATCACTTGATGTGATGCCATGTCATCAATGATTTCTTCAGATATTTTCGTTTCTATCAAATGAGTGATACTTTTGGCGCCAAATAAACCAAAAAACTGTTTAGAGTTTTGATAAAACAAATTAAGTCTATATTTGTGTTGACTTTTCATACATTCAAATGATATAAACATTGAATTCATGTGTTATTTATTATAAACATTTCATAACATAAACATTGAATCAAATCATTTGAATTTAAATGGATTTAAATGTAATTATTGGCAAAAACAAGACGTTTGATACCAAACAAGTGATCGCCGATAAAGTCAAGAATGCCATGACTTGTATGTCATTTTTCGGTGATAATCACATGAATTAACAATTAATACCATTTGTTTGATAAACTTTTAGTGGGTTTCCGAACTATCGGTCTTACTGTTGATGTCGATCACCAACACATCCCACATGTAATGAATTAAATAAATATTTTACATAATTTCTTGAAATTGATTTTATGTCAATTGATTTATTAGATCCCAATTCCGCCGATCATTAGACTGGAGGACATAGCACTTGATCGCAAAGACGTTGTTATAAAAACTCGTCTTAATGTTAGAGTTGAAGAACACATCCAAACCCATCGATTGGTAATATAATTGATAATATGATTCATGGATTCAATGGCTGTTTGTTTGAAACCTTAGAATCAATCAGAAAACGCCAAGAAGTATGACTTGTTATCAATTGAACCATTAAATGATAAAATGTTGAGTCATCTGAATAAAGGCAACTTTGATACCGATTTGATTACATTTAACTTTAGTTCCACTCTTTGTCCGGACATAAAACGGTCCAACTTTTCAATTGTATTAAACATTTAATTACTCTCTTATTATACTGTATTTCACTCTATAATCAATTTAAAACATATTTTTAAAGCCGATATCAAAAGGAGTTGGAATTGAAATCAATTACGGAAACAGTTTATTAGATCCCACTTCAAGACGATCACTATTTTCATTGTCACAACTTTTGGTCGAAAAAACCAAATCAAAAGTATGCGAAAAATATTTGATTGAAAAATATTTAGTTTTTTTATTACACAGAATATAGTCATCTCTTCGGGATCGACCACAAGCTTTGCATTGAGAGCTCCTAAAGATGTGACTTATCTGTGAGTTATTCAAAATTTGTTTACTATTTAACATAAGTTGTTATATTTTAGTGGATTAATGTTTGGCTTAAATGGTGATCAAAGCAAAGCTGCTGTCTTTAGAAACCCAATATTAGTGTTGAAACACTCAGGTATTGATATACTGTATATAATATAAATATCAGTAATAATGACAATTATTGTAAAAATGTTTATTTGTTAATTCAATTATTTTTTAAAATTTAGAAATTCGTAAAAATGTAAATATGGGAACAATTAGTTTAACTTCTTGTGATTTACATAATGAAAACAAATGGCTAAACAAAGAGTTTGCTTCAGTTAAGAGAGTTTCTGATGACGAGTCAAGTAAAACAAAAAAAGTTAAAATATAAACGAATTTCTATATATTTATAATAATCATTATTTATAACAAAATAATTAATAAATAACAGTCAAAACATGCTATCATTTGTCATCTTCTTGTTTGTGACGCCGAGAAGTGCTTCTCTTATCTGTGCTCTAAAAAACAGTATAATTATATTAATATATTCCTCAACTTTTTTGATGATAATATAAACTTAATTTAAGACTTACTTTATTTCTGGAATCTTCGCGTTTAGTTTTATTCGTGTCGTCGTCTTTACGGCGTTTAGGGGTTTGATTAATATCTGTCACATCACTAGTTGGCGATTCTTTCTGTTTGAAACCAATATATATCCAAATTGTATATTAAAACAGTGCTAACAATCTTAATGACAAACCTGTTGTCTTTTTCTGACAGTCGATGACTGTTTCTTTTCATGAGACCTAACTGTCTGTGCGTTTGAAACTCCATTATTGAGTTCATCCTTAACCCGTTTAATATCATTTTCATCCTATAATACAGTAATTAAATAAGTCTATAATAATCGGATTTATTTTTAAATACAAACCTTATTAGAATCGACTTTCCTTTTCTTGTGTTCCCTTTCTATAAGCAATAAATGTTTGAATAATTTTAATTAATAGAAAAAATAAATATAATAATGAGTCAAACCTTTATCATCAATGGATTCTTCTTTAATTCTGTGTTCAGTTCTTCGTGGAGACAATGATGATACCGATGAAGAACGAGAATCATTTCTGTGATTCTTTTCGGTATTATTTTTCTCTTCATTTGATATTTTCTTATTTTTCGATTCCATTTTAATCACTTCTTTCTTTGATTCTTTTCTTTTATCATTTACTTCTTTACTATCAATACTGTTCTTTGACTTAATTGTCTCTTTTTCGATATTATTTACTTCTTTGGGTTCCTTCTTGATGTTGATATTACTATTTATTTCTGTTTTCACATTATTTTGAGTGCTATTTTGTGGCACTTTTTTAGTCTCTTTAATATGAAATTCTGATTCAGGAATGAATGTCGACTTTTTGGACTTCAATTGACCGGAATATCTAGAAATTACATTAAAATTGATGATTAAAAAAGTCTATCAAAATATAGACAATTAGTTGACATACCCGGTGGCCAATGCATAGAGATCGGGCCGTTTCTCCTTTTCCTCATTACGAATGTTATCAACTCGGCGTTCAATTGCTTGAGCGAAGCTAATCATGACTGGGAATTGTGGCAAAACTTTCGTCAAAATAATGAGTGAATTTCTAATTTGAATGTAATCTCCAGAATCGAGACATAATATGAATGCTTTGGTCAGTCTGTAGTGCCATTTGTGACAAACGTGTCGATAGTTTTCAAAGTCCACGTGAACCGGATCTTTCTCACAGAACTTTGTGACAAATCCCGGAAATTTTGCGCATTCCTTCAAATTATGAACACAACAACAATATTACAAACAAATAAATCAAATTAATGTATAGTATTATAGAAACCTTATTAAAAACATCTTTATCTTTGTGCCAATTCATTACTGTCTCCAATAAAGCGCAAAGAAAGCGGCCGTAATGGTTGGCCTCGTTCTCAGTGCACGAACACATCGTGTATGATATATCACCGAAAATCTATTAAAAAATAATAAACACATTAAAACATTATATGCTGTATAAAAATTTTTAAATACATACTCTATCGTAACAAATAAGTGTCGAAAAGTTGGGAGTTTGCAAAACGTGTAACAAATGGACAAATTTGGCGCAAAATAGTGCGTCAGAAGCGGCAAATTTACACCGAGGAAACAGACAGTGTTGCAGAAATTGTGTCGTCATTTCCATTTTAGCCACTTTTGATTGAAACCATTGATCCTTCTCTTTCTGAAGACGTGCCAAAACACGACTTTTATGATCCTGTTGTTTAGCTTCTTCGTCGGTCAACTTTTCCATCATTGATAAACATTTTTCTTTCTCTTTTTTCCTTTTATTCGGCGCTAAATCTTTATTATCGTCGGCCGCAGTAATTTGATCCTTGAATTTCTTGAGTTCGCGTTCATAACTTTGAGTGGGCACTTGAAGGTCATACATTGTTAAGGTCCAAAAGGTGACAAAAAATCGAGGACTAAAATCAAAATTATTATTTTTTAACTGCTTTTTAAAAAATCAAAATAAAATTTCAATCAAACCTTAAATCATCCCAAAATTTTGCTGAATATGCGGGAACTATAGATTTGACGAGTGGTGTCGTAACTGTATCGGAGGCGTCGATATAATATTGGGTTAGTTTACTGGAAGTCTTATCAACTTTTTTCAGTTCATCAAATTTGGACTATCGGATCGGTAATTAAAAAAAAATTAATTGTATACAAATAAATCGTTCAACAATTCTAACTCACATTAATATAATGAATAATCATTGGTCGCACTAAGAAAAAGGTAATGTCAGCACTTAGACTATAATCGGAAATGAGTTTCTCGAGTGGCGGAAGATTCTCAATATAGTCATCAATGTTGAGAGTGTTGGCCAAAAAGCTACCGTATTGGACAAGTGTTTCCTGACACTATAGATTTAAATATTACGGTAATTAGTATTTTATTTTAAAATATCACTACAAATAATGCAATACCTGATCATAGAGTTTGCCAACCAGTTTGATGTGTGACTGTTGATGAAAAAGTATACAATTTCTTTGTTGAGCAATAAGTATACACAAAGGCATCGCTAGATTATTGTCAAGTAATGCGTCTTTTAAACGACTCGTCGACTTCTTGGTATTCCTCACTTGATTGAAATACCCGCCCTCTGCCCGCAATAGTTCCCCTCCACTCAATGCAGATAACTGTTCGTTTGTCATATCATCTAAAGCTTCAATTCCAGCCATTTTTTGAACAATCTCTTTAAGAACAAGTAAATCGAGACATTTTTCAGACTTGAGTTGATTGGCAACAAATTGGAGAATTCCCGGCAATTCAATCGGATATTTTTTGACTACAGATCCAGAAAAACTGGCTAAACTTAGAAGCCATGGAGAGATTGTGGCGCCTTCGTGCTTAGTCTGCTCTTTGGCCGGATCGGCCAGTGCTTCAATCATACAAAATGCCAACACATCGTATGAAATGGTTGTCAAATATTTCAATGCGTCAACAACTGGTCCAATAAGATTGTCATACGACTGAATTTGTGATAATATCTACACAAATAAATTACAAATATTTTATGTAAATTACAATTTAAAGCTCGACTTCATATTCATCAATGACTTACATATTGAAAAAGAAATGATGGATTCGAATGACTCAATTTACCGATTTGACGACCAGAAGGCTTCACATTCTCTTTACTCAATCTCTTCATTATATATTTAATTCTCTTAAGAGTAGCCGCTCTGGTCTTTATCATCAAAGTATTAGATGGTTCGGCCTTCCAGTTAGTATAGAGTTTGTAACGTTGTTGATAAGGAAATGATTTCATAAGAAGCCACAGTTCCTCAGAAAGGGCACAATTACTCTCAACTAAAGACATTGATGGAAGTATTGCTTCATCAAGAATTGTAATGATGTCGTGTTTGACTGAATTGGCAGTTGAAGAACTCGATAGTAATGTTCGACAAAATCTAATTATCTTAGAGATCAATAGTGTGTCCTTATAAAGAAATGGACCGATCGATGATATCATTGTGAATCCTGTGCTCTTCAATTCGGAAACGTTTTCAAATTGTTTAATTAGCGGTTGTTTCGCACATTTGTATGATTTGATTTTGGACGCAATGACTGTTGGCAAACCTGAGTACCTATAAATTAATAATTAATTTAGTTAAATGCAACCAAAAATAAAATTATTATAATAACAAAAAGTTATATTTACTGTTTATAAATTTTATCAATTGAATAATGAATTAAATCACACAATTGATTAGCAATGGTCTCGAATGAGACGGCATAATATTCGGGCAATTTTCTGATCAAAAGCTCTGCATTCTTCCAATCGCCGACTTTAAGAAGTGCTAATATTAAACCTAACTTCTGATTACTTAAGAACTGTTTTTGTCGCTCTTCTTCGACATTCTTTTCGTCTTCGTTTTGTTTTTCAGGATTTGTCAAAATTGAATTTATTTTCTTCGCAAAAGTTCTCGCTTCTGACAATTCATTTTTAAAATCATCTAATATTTTGTTGTCATTTGGATATAACTATTAAAATATAAAACAAAAAACCAATGATTGTTTTAAACAATTATTTAATGGTATAAATGTTTTTAAAAACCACTTACAAAATCATATAATTGATTCAATTCAATAAGTTTGTAGTGTAGAGCCAATGCAATCACTTGATATAATGTGTCGGGAGTTTGTAATGAGTTTTCATTCTAATAATATTTAAATATATAGATTATTAATAAATTCTTTAAATAGTAAACAATAATAATTTCTGATCCAATACCTGATAAAAACTTAATTTAAAGGCTAATATTTGTGTTAAAGTCGTAGAGTTTGGTAAATATTCTTGAATTAGAGGTATATAGCATTTGTGAAGATCAATGTTGTACTCAAAACACTCAAGAATTATATCCAAAACACGATTCGGATCCAAATTAAAGCAACCTTTGAAATAGAAATCAAATGTTATTTAAAAATTGTTATAAAGATGATAATGGATACCAACCGATAAGTTTCTTAACCACTTGAAGCATATATTTGTGATCAAAAGCAATGCCCTGACAGAGCTCGACAATCAACTTTCCATACCCTTCACTCTCTTCTCGACATAAGTTGAACTTTTGTTGTTTATAACTTTAATTTAAATAATATTTAACTTTTAGTATTTGTTGTTAGACTTTATAAAACTTACAAAAGTCTTGTCTTAAGTTTAATAAACTTTGTCGACGCAGTCTTCTTATTCGAAACAATCCTCGCATCGCCAGTGGTCTCGTAATCAAGTCTTTCCTTAAGAACCCATTCAGATATAACTCTCTGTAATAAATTGAATTCAATCAATAAAGTTATAAACTACTTATCGGTTAATAATTATATGTATATAATAATGTCTTACATTATTAACGGCAGATAAGAGTTGCAGATAATGGTCTCTTGTGTTGTCTTTGTTTTCCAAAGTCTGTGTCTCAACATCTATATAACAAAGAATGTGAAGGCATTTGGTTTACGACGTGTTTCAAGAATTGGGGTTTCGGTGATAACGGTCTTAACGCCACATATCAGGACTAATGCTTCTAATGTTTGGTCACATCTTATTTATCATTTTTAATTATTTCTAACATATATTAAATCGTATATTAATGATGATTATAAAAAAAAATTAAATATAAATTTAATGACATTTAGTGAGTTAACCAATGAGTGAATCGACGAAAAGCGACCTTTTTATAGAAATATATATTAATTTTTAAAAAGAATTGCAAAGATTTGATTAATCAGCAAAACTTTAGCCATTTCTTCACAACATTTCACATATACATCAAGTGATGATAACTTCGATGTCGTGGATGTTGTGATTGTGTTTACTTTAAAATCGGTTCAAACCGTCATTCAAAGCGATAGTTATCGAAACTTTCGGGTTTATCTTTCGGCAATCGATTCATATTTTCGGTTATCGCTACAACTCATTACAGACAATCACACAAAACTCATGACATTTAAGCTCTTAGAATGCCTGAAGAAGACAAATAAACCAATAAAACAATGGTATGACTTATGTTTCATATCATCGCCACTTCATTACTAACATTGTTCCTGATATGAGACCGAAGCACATGACTGTCCCGTCCTTTTGATTCAGTCATATGTGTAATGGTATTCATTGTGACATTCAGATGATGTTTCATCTTATTTGTCATTAGATCCAAAAACTTACCAAAAAGTAACAAAACATCACTTAATATGTTAATTATATCTGAATTGAGCGCCTAATCAAAGAGTCAGACAATTAATCAATCAATCAAATGATGGTTTCGTGGCTTACAATGACTTCGATGAGCGCAATGACGACTGGATCTGCTTTGGACTGTCCATTGACTACTCGGGCACACAAATCATACACCAATTGTCGCAACTTCTCTCTGTCGCTAATACTTCGGCACTGTTTTACACTGTGTATCAAATCAATCAATAATTAGTATGAAATATCACCCAATAATTAGGTTAATAGTTGGTCTCACAAGTTGTCCATTTGGTCTTTATCTGCGGCACTGTCTTTGTCGGCCATATTGTTACCACTGATTCAATGCATTCAAACGCATATCCATTTCAATGTCACTCACAGATGACGCTAACAATCAATACATTGAATGCAATTTACTGTACGTTTAATACAGTATTTATGTAGAGTTGTATTACAGTTAGTGATGTTAGACTCAATTTTTGCTGAAATTTTGTGTAAATATTAAACATAAATATAATCTAAAACTTTAGGTTTAACTTAGACTTTGAAACTAAAAGTAATTTATATCTATTATGAGTATATTATCTATATATTTATGTGAATTTGTTTTTTATTAGTACCGCATAAATATAAAATAATTACCGATAATTGAGTTGTTGTAGTTTGAAACCATTAATAAACTTTTATCAAAAATAGTACTAATCCTTAAACAATTATTGTAAAACTGTATAACATTGAAAATAATAAAGTGTCAAGGTACTGTACCTATAAATTGTAATTTAGTAATAAAATTTTATTAAACAATTTTTGTGTTTTATTTTTTACATTAAATAAGTGACTATTTTGACAATATATAGATATAATACATATTTATTACAATTATTTTTTTCGTTTGATGCCTTTGCCGAACCAACCCGGACTGCAAACCACTGAATCGCATATTTTATTAGTCGATTCATTTGATTCAAAGAGTTTGAGTCGATTACAAGTTTGTTGCTCTTCTGACTTGAGTGATGTCGAGTAACAATAGATGGGATCTTTAGATCTAATGTGTAATAAAAACATTTTTAATTCAAAAATTTTCAAAAGTTTTAAACTAACTTTATATATGGTTTCTCTTGAATGTCCAAATGCTTCATAACTTCTTGCATAACATTATCACATTTACCGTTAATTTTGAGCATTGATTGTGAATCTTTTGGAGTCCACTGAAGATTAACGATAGCAATCTTAGCCGTCTTAGGCCATAAACAATGATATTTGCGAAGTATTTTTAAACTACTTCCTAAACAAATAATAAGATCAGCTTTTGCTGCCGACTTAGCCGCCGCATCCCAATTGAGAGGCAATAAAAGTTTGCCCTTTTCGCCGAAATGTACGATTGTGTCGATTAAGTCCGCCCTATCTTTTGGACATAAATGACATTTGCGACCAGTTTTGTGTCGCCGAAGTGACGTATTTTCAGTGACATCAAATGATCTTAAATATTGTGTTTTACAATTAGCACAAACTTCAATATACATATTGCCGTGAATTTCAGACAAATGTTTTTGTGGTAAACCACTTCTTAAATGAAGTCCATCACAGTTTTGTGAGACAACATGTCTAACAATACGTTTACGATTTAATGCAGTGATAGCCATATGAGTGAATGTCGGCTCTAATATAACAATCATTTATATATTTAATAACAACCGATACTTATTTGGTTTAATCCCTTACCCGCCAAAACTAGATCTATATGTTGTTCAATGTGCGATCCATTCTTGAGTTGTGTCCAAATACCATTAGGTCCCCTATAATCAGGTATTTGCGCTGAAGTACTTATACCGGCACCGGTATAAACCACAGCTCTCTTTGATTGACGGATCAAATCGGCCAAAATAAGACATTTTTGTGATATCACTTGTGGTTCGTCCTCTACTTCTTTTGATCTCTCTTTGTTTAACTCAATTTTTTGTCTTTTATGAAGAAGTAAATCAACCAATGGTTTTGATTCATTTAAAACTTTGATGTCTTCTTTTGTTTGTTCAGATTTGCATTTCTTAAGAATGGACACAATCTGTCGTTTTCTTTAATATTTACAAAAAACATAAAAATATCAATTATTGTCGAAATTAGTTGAAACACTTACTTAGCCGTCAATTCCTCCTGTAATTTGATTTTCATCAGATGTTTATCTTTGCGATCTCTTCGTCGATCACCAGATGAGTCCATCGTTTGTAAGTTAGTGTCCAATGAATGACATTTCAATTGATTGATTGATTGATTGATTCATTCATTCATTCATTCATTCATTGATTCATTCATTGATTCATTCATTGATTCATTCATTGACTTTACAATCAAAACATTCAATTGATTGCAGACATTGTTTATACAGTACTACATAATTTAATGACTTGTCTGTCAAATTGGTTCCATTTATACTTCTAACTCAATGCTTATAATGTATGTAAAGGTACAAAATGATGATAAGTTTTATGAGTATTGTGTACACAAATAACGTTTATTTAAAGCATTAAATGATTGAATGTTTGGTTTATTTGTTGTTTGACTTCCTTTTCCTGTTTGTCATTCAATCGTCAAAATGGTATGAAATAAGTTAATAGCAATTAATCGGTAATTTAAATGAAATTTATTGACAATTTAGGGTCGCGTTAGGACAAAGACTATTAAGAAGGCTTCCCGAGTGGTGATCGAGAAGTATTACACTCGACTTACTCTTGATTTTCACACCAATAAGCGGATCTGTGAGGAGATCGCTATTATACCATCAAAGCGTCTCCGCAACCAAATCGCCGGTTTTGTGACTCATCTGATGAAACGCATCCAAAGGGCGCCCGTCAGAGGTATTTCCATCAAATTGCAAGAAGAAGAGCGCGAAAGAAGAGATAACTACGTTCCTGACGTATGTATTGCCGAAACACGCCGTTCACATGAAAATAATTTTCTATCACTTATTTCATCTATTGATTTGCATTTCTATTATTAGGTATCTGCTATCGATGTGGATGTCATTGAAGTAGATCCAGACTCGTATCTTATGCTTAAAGAGATGTCTATGGATAAGATCGCTGGCTTACAGCAGACCAACCCATCGGTACCATTCAGAAGTGGTCGCTCTTAAGGAATGATTTCATTTGAATTTAATATTAATTTCGATAATAAAGTGTTGAATTAAATTTAAAATATTTTCTTTTATTATTTCATTTAAAACCTTGAGGTATATTAAAAAACAAATAATTTATATTAATTTACCGGTAATTTACTTTTACCGTTCAATTTGTATTAAATTAGTTGAAATTAGTATTAAACAAAATTACTTAATTATATAAAAGTATCTCTTTGTCGATATCATTAATAATGGCTTTAATAGCATTCTTCTCCTGACGTGAGGCTAAAAATTTGAAGAATAAACAGACAAAAGCAAAGACTGATAGCAATAATATAAGAAGTGATGCCTCAAGAATTGATACGTTAACAGCCATTGTAATAATCCAAATGAAAAAACATAAGAAAAGGAGAAAAAGCAGAAATAAATATACAAATGATTTGAGAGTTAATTGATTATCGGCCACATAAACGTCCAGTTGATGTCTAACACGTTCAAGAGTCAGCCGTTTACCACTATTGATGCCATATTTCGATCGGATGGCATTGGAAGCAATGTGTTTGAGCTGAAGAGGACCATTCTTGACCATCTTTGTTGCCGTTTCTAACAAAATATTGGATTTAAGTTTCGATTTGCAGGATAATAATCCTTTAACATCGGAACTATCCATCTCCTTATATGTGTGACTCTGATCACCCATTCCTCCCGAACCCCTCCTTTCATGCACTTTCCTATACTGAACACAACCGCCACCCTTTGCCATACAATTGCCATTATTACCATTAACTCCGTTGTGGGTATTATTTCCATTGCAATGATTTTCGTTAACTGTATTGGTATTTGAGTTTGACTTCAAATCAGAAGATATGTCAGTTAATCTTATAGTGAATTGTGCCACAACTGGTTGGTGGTCACTAAAAGACATTCCCGATTCGTCTTTAGAGTGAACCATATGATGTTCAACACAGAAATATTTGCCAAAAGGCTCGAAATGTGATTCAGAGATTAACTCATTATTTTTGTTGTACACGGAATCAGTTAATCGATATAAAATAAAGTCAATTCTTTTTCCATTTGTATTCTTTTCTGTGTATGTATTATCTCGATGTCCACACGTATGGAACTCATCGTCAGACATCTCGGAATCGGTATAATCGTTGGTCAAAGAATCTCCAGCGGCAGCAAAGACATTGTCGGCCATTGTTTTTGTTCGGAATTTAAAACAATCTTTTAATTCAAGTAAATCAACTAAATTGGCAAAAATAGAAAATACTAATTATATTATAAAAATTATAGTAAATTTTATTTCAAGTCCAACCTAACAAACGATAAGGCAGTTCTTTAGATGATGTGTTCATATCTCCGGCAAGAATAATAAAGTCCTTAGCATTTGATCGACAATTAGTCATCGATTTAATAAATTTTGACATTTCAAAGGACTGACAGATCCGATGTACTGAATATTGATCATTAAGCTTCTCCTCTTCATCATATTGAGCGTGCATCTGATGATACATAACATTATTACCGGTATATCATTAGATTTAATAAAAATAATATCATACATGAGTACAAAATAAATGTAGATTCAGTGAATCCAATTCAATGCGAACGTATCCAATACCTAGAGATATGGATCTTTTAGTAGTCATAATAAAACATCCGTTTTGAAGATGATATATATACCTTTGGATGTATACCAATCTCCGTGTGTTACTTGAAATGGAGAGCCATTCACTGAAAACGGGTGGAAATGAAAAACTTTTGGCACCCATTTGACTAAAATTGCTAAACCTTTAATAATTAATTTCAACACAATGTTATTCAAATGTATTTAATCGTCAAATGTGTTCAATCATATAAAAGACACTAAACATACCACTATTGCCTAAAACACTGCCGTTTTTGAACATATGTGCAAATTTGAACTTAGATTCAGTCGCTTTCCAGATCTGCTCGAAGTCTGATTGCACCCAAACCTTCATTTTTAGACATCATTTAAATAAGTCATTCAATTAGTAATCAATGATATACTTCTTGTAGGAAAACGATATCGTAGTCATGATTAGCCAAATGGTTGGCTATTATATTGATTCGCTGTTCCCTATGTTTGGCTACTTTCCAGAGACCCCTAAATTGGTTATAATTGTAATCAATTTAAATATATTATTATTATTGTTATAAACTTATTATAAATATATTTCTATAATACTAACAATACTGTATACATATTATTAATAGTAAAACTTAGAATATATTTGCAATCAGTTAAATAATGTATTGTATATATAGTAAAATGTTTATTAATAAACTTAATTTACAATAATATAATAAAGTATAACTAAAATATCATATATCATAGTATTAGTACATAATATCATATATATTATATTATTATTAGTAATTGTGACTATTTGTAAATCATGTCAATTTAATTACTATATCGTGTAAATTGTTAAATGATCATGGTCACATGTTGTTATCATATATGGTAATTTGATTAATGTTATTAATAAATGTGCATGTTCAATTGACAATTTAATTATATTTAAATATTTTAGATATTGTTAGCCGTATATCATTTAGATTGCAATTTATAAATACAGTATTAATTAAATCGATTGTTAATTACTGTATAATGTATTCAAACAAAACTTACCAACAATTTAGGGTAAATATCTTAATACTGGTTTCAGTGATAATCTGATCCATTGAAATGATCACTCAATACATCAAATATTTAACAATAAATGAAATACTAAACCAATTTAAAGACACTTTCATTGAGTGACAGTCAGTGATAGTCTAATCAAAACAATCACTAATTTGTAGATTCAATGATGTGTTGTGTAGTGTTGTTCACAATTATTCACTTAAAACACACTTAAATGCAATATCGAGAATAAATTCCCTCCGTTTCATAAGTTTAATAATATGTAAACATTTTAAAAAAATATAATGAAATTAATGATTTAATTTGAATAAACTCAATGTCTATATTAACTTTTTTTAAAAAATAACTTTCAATATGTTTTACTAAATATATTTTACGAATAATTATTGGGAATTACTTGAAAAGTTGCCGTAAATTATACTATAAATACCCAATAATTTCTGTTCTGTACACATATACTAAATATTTATTATCACACTATTAGAGTTGCAAATCATAGCTTTTTTAGGAACCGAATTATTCGGATAAAAAAGCAACTAATTTTAAAGGGAAATAAATGTCAAAATGTAAAACAAGTTAAACAGTTATTAAAAAATGAAAAAATAATTAATTAAAGCTAAAATTGAAAACGGTTTATAAATTTTTATAAATTATTGTTGACAATAATAATTTAATCTTTATTTATTTAATTAATAAATCTAATTAATAATTAGATGTTAAAGAATAGTTATTAATAAAAAAATTATAGATTTATATTATAGAAAATACTTATCAGATTTAAGTTAAGAATTGTTTTTGTTATTTAAACATTAATTTTTAAGACTAGAATTTAAAAGTATAAAAAAACTTAGAAAACAAACCGAAACCGAAATATGAAACTGAAATCATTTTTACTGTTTTATATAAACTCTATTAACCCTAGATGCGATGTGTGAAATTGTTACATAAAAAATAAAGTGGCCAAATAATATACCAGTATTGCAGTGAAAATAACCATACAGGGTTTTTGGAAATATAGCATTAATAAGAATGTATGGCCTAATTATAGGCCAAAAGTTAATAACAAATTAGAATGTGTGGTATAAAATAAGGCCACATAATTAAAAACAGAGTAGAATGTGTGGCCTAAAATTAGGCCATATGTAAACGTATATTCTTGTAAGTTATAAAATCATATATTAAATAAAATGCATTTTTATAATTTCATTATACTAATATAATAAAGTAACATTTAATACAAAATTTAAAATTACATTTATTAAAAAATATTTAGATTATAATATAGCTAAAATTTTCTTTATATTAATTTTATTATTATTAATTATATAAATATATTAACTTTTTATTATTAATTTTTTATTATTAAAACTTATTTACAATTTAGTTACTTTATTTTTATTCACTTTTTTATTTATATTTTATAATAAAATTTTTAAAAACATTGTGTACATTCATTTATTTATAAAAAATATATATTTATGGCATTATTTTTTAAAATAAATAAAAATATTTTAATAATTAATAATATTAATAATAATATATATTAATATATATTATAATATTATTAATTATTAAAATATTTTTATTTATCTTAAAAAATAATGCCATAAATATATATTTTCAAAATTTTTAAAAAGTACCTTTGCACACGGGTCATGGCCAATTTTTTTTTAATTTTCAGGAAAATTTTGGCTGGACTTTGGACTAGAATAAATAGAAAAAATAATAATTAATATAATTTAATAAAAATAAATTAAAAATATGTTACCTTAAACTAAACAACTACTACCACAACAACAACTACTACCACAACAACAACTACTACCACAACAACTACTACCACTACTACCACTACTACCACTACTACCACTACTACCACTACTACCACTACTACCACTACTACCACTACTACCACAACAACAACTACTACCACAACAACAACTACTACCACAACAACTACTACCACAACAACTACTACCACAACAACTACTACCACAACAACTACTACCACAACAACAACTACTACTACTACTATTACTACTATTACTACTATTACTACTATTACTACTATTACTACTATTACTACTATTACTACTATTACTACTATTACTATTATTACTACTATTACTACTATTACTACTATTACTACTATTACTACTATTACTACTATTACTACTATTACTACTATTACTACTATTACTACTATTACTACTATTACTTAATTTTAATAATATAAAAATAATTAAATAACAATAATTATAATATTAAATATAATAATGTCATTAAAAATGGTTTTTTATTACTTTGTTATAATAATTATAAATCAAATACAAATAAATTTATTTTTTCAATAAAAAACAATACAAAAAAATTAATTATATTTTAATTGTTAATCATTTAAAGTATAATCTTTATCAGAACATTGAGTACAATAGATAATCATATGATTTGATTTACAAATTAACTGATCACAATCATTACATCTAATAGTAGCCTTTTTGTTATCACATCTCGGACACAAATAACAACGACTTTGATTTGCATTATATTTTTTTCGTTTGCCAGCATCTTTCGTAACATTAGGTTTAGGTAGTAATTCTGGATGTTTTCTTTTAATAATGAGTTTTATTCTCATTCTCAAGTCTTGACTTAATTCATTGATTTCCAATCTTGACATCATTTGTTTGAATGCTAAGCCTTCACCTAATGTGTGTAAAAACTCGCGACGTTTTTTACTTTCATTTGGTTCTGGTATCAAATGTGATGCATAATGTCTATAAATTATATACGAATTTACAGCCATGATGTCCAAAAGTGCAAAAAATGCCGCAGTTGGCCATCTATTTGTTTTACGACCAGTACTATAAGTTGCACACATTTGATCTAATGTGTCGACCCCTCCTTTTGTATGGTTATAGTATTCAATAATTTCTGGTTTTTTTGGAGGACTGCATATTTCTGTAGAATGCATTGAACTTAACACCAAAACAACTTTATTTTTCTTAGGATAATAGGCAACGAGTGTAATGTTATCATTGGATGAAAACTCAGAAGAACCGATAACTCTCTTCTTTTTTTCTAAGTAATGTTTTGGTATTTCCTTCTTATTATGCTTTACTGTTCCAACAAGTGTTAGATTAGACATTAATAATTCATTAGCCAGCGGATAACTTGTAAACCAGTTATCTGTTGTAATATTACGTCCAGTATGTTTAATACGTTTTGTTAATTCTAAGACAACATTTTGAGAGACACTTTTAGCTTTTGTATTATTTTCTTTTCCGGTATAAAATAAGGCATCATAACAATAAGCAGTTTCTGAATCACATATAATAAAAAATTTTAAGCCATACTTTGCTGGCTTTTTGGGCATATATTGCTTGAATTGACACCGACCTCTGAAAGGTCTTAACATTTCGTCAATTGTAGCGTTTGTTGACATTTCATAATTTTGTCGACAAACCTTTCTAAATTCAGTGAAAATATTACTAAATAGAGCTAATTTGTCACCATTCAGTTTACGAGCTTCACGTGAAGCTATATGATCAAAACACAAATGTTCAGTAATATATTGAAATCTTTTCAAAGGCATTACTGCCCTAAATATGTCACGTCCTCTTCCTCCAGTGTCCCATAAATCATTGAGATTTTCATGTGAAGATCTATCAACTCCTATAAGAATACAAAGTCCAATATATGCAAGCATTTCTTTTTCATCAATTAAATTATTATATGTTTGCTTTCGTTTTTCACGATCTAATTCGGTTTCTTTTTTTCAATTTTTTGATTAGTATTTATAATAACGGTTTTAAGCATTGAATCAGTCAAAAAATGCCTAAATGTCATTACAGGTGTTAAACATTCATTTTCCGGTATTTTTGGTCCTGATTTGAACCGACATATATTATGAGACAATGTTTTTGTTGAATTATTTTTTTGACTATTTGTATGACTTGAATTTTGTGATGAATTAGTTGATTTTGGAGACAATTGTTGAGATGATTGAGATATGTTAGATGTCGTTTGAGATGATTGCTGAGACAAAGTTTGAGGCAATAGTATCGGTAATTGTTGAGATGTTAATTGTGATGTTGATGGTTGAATTACATTTATTGGATTTAATTGCTGAGAATTTAAGGATTGATTTAATTGTGTTATATTAGTGTTTTCAACACTATCATCAAAATCATAAATTGGCGTAATTGAAGTGGTTAATATATTGTCCGGTAATATATCATCAAATAATTGAGTACTTTCATTAAATTGATAGCTTTGGTGATCAGACACTGTATCACTAATTTGTAAGACATTTGTGTCACTAGAGATGATATTTTGGTTTAAATTAATTTTTTGTGTATTTATTGATAAATTTAAATTAAAAGTTTCATTATCTGAATCGATATCACATTCTGAATCACTATTATGATCACTACAATCAGTATTATTAGAGTTAATATCATTGTCTGAATCATTAGCGACATTCAATAAGTCATTTATCTCTTCCTCAGTCAAATATTTACGAGCCATTATACTTAAAATTAAATATAATATTTCAAACTATAATAACATTTTTATCACTAATATAGTCTTGAGCACGTAATAAAATTAAATAAAATATAATCAAATACAATATACCTAATGATAAACATAATGGAAATAATGTAAACAATGAGATATCCATATTGATATAAAACATATAATAATATGTGTATCAAAATATATATGATTATTGTTTACAACAATAATGTATTTTATTATAATAAACTAATATTAGGCCATACATCATCTAATGTATTAAAATATTATCTGGCCACGCAGTATTTAGTGTTATTATTTTTATATTAAAGTTATTTTTTTTGCTTAGCATACATGTTATGCAGTAAAACATTAATTGTAAAATATATAAAAGCACTGTTTATACTATGAAATAATATAATTTATCGCGATGTGTGGCCTAATATTATACAAAATTATAATTATTTAATTAATTTATGTATTTAATTAATTTATTTTTATATAAACATTTAGATCTATTAGTTATTGAGGTATTTCTAAAATATTTTTTTATTCTATTCAAAATTTAATTTTTAATTCAATATTAAATGTAAAATTGCCTATTATTGCGCCAGACATCGCAACAAGGGTTAATACTGACTTATGATAACTACTGTACTGTAAAACATATGAACAAAACATTGTATGCAATCATTACTTGACATCACATTTGATTGCTTCTCATATATGATGTCTTGTGGTAAGCAATTGAAGTGCAAGTCTAACAACAGATGTTGTGGTGATTACTACCGATTAGATTCATTTGATGACCGATGCGGTGATGACTTGTGTAAAGTTTTGCTCAGTTATCTGTCACTTGAAGACAAACTCAGACTTGAATGTGTGTCCAAACAGTTTCAGATGTGTCTCTTTGATAGTCAGACTCATATCAATACTTATGATTTGTTTTGGGATCATAGCAAACGAGAAGACGGATCAGATAAAGGTTATGACAATTTCAATACTACTAACTTTGAGACAATTGTGAAGAAATGTCACAATTTAGAGTACATCGATATATCCATGGATGAGACACTCAATGATAGTGTATATAATGAAATCGTTGATTACATCTCCAAGTATTGCCATCACTTAACAAGAGTTGACTTGAATTTCGAGAGACTTAAACCACAAACAATGCAGACATTTGTCGACAAATTTGGTTTAAAAATCAAAAGGTTTGCATTTCATCCGTCGACACAAAATATTAAGAGAAATCTGAAATTTTTTCCTAATGTTAAACAAATTGAGTGCTTCTGGAGTTATTTGTCTGTTTTGAATGAAGTAATTAATGACAATAAATGTTTGGTCTATAATATGACCAAATGTACCATCAATTTCAGTGAAGACAATCGATACAATTTTAAAACTTTTATAGATAACAATCTAACGTTGAAATCAATTTATATTGAGACCTATGCTATTGACACCAATGTCTTGAATTATATGTACACAGAGTTATGTAGACTAACTAATGTTGAAGAGTTGGTCCACGTGGAGGACTGGTCCAACTTTGATGTCGACGATTACTTATTTTTAACTAATTTTCGACAATTGGCCAAAAGTTGTCCGAAACTAAATAAGTTATGCCTTTATTGGCGTTTAGTCATAACATCCGATTCACACAAATGGCTATTATTTAATCAATTCAAACATTTCAAACAATTAAAATGTCTGAAAATATCCATTGAAATCAATCACGAAGACGACGATACCATTCACTCATATGAGACTAATATTACATCCGAATTGTTCACTCAATGCAAACAATTGAGACATTTAACTATTGATCTATTTTGTAGATCAGATGCCTTTGAATTCAATGATAACTTCTTTAACAACATTGATAAACATTTACCAAATTTACAGACATTGACATTACGTGTGGTCGGTATTACTGATGTGATAATCAATAGCTTAAGTAAATTAAGAAAATTGCAAAACTTATGTTTCTATACTAAACAACTTATAAGTGATGACCAATTGAATAATTTTCTAGAAAATAGTCATAAAATAAAAAGTAAAAATATCTTTTTTAAGTATTATGACAAAAATGATTGGAAATTGATTATTAAAAGCAATGTTGTTATTAAGTAAAGTATCAGTCAATTAAACAATAATTTATTGTATGTGTAGATTATTATACAAATTTAATAATCGTTAAATATATTGTTTTTAGTTTAAAATTTATGTTGTTTTAACAAAATTTTTATTACAAAATTATGTAGCATTAGATGAGATGATTTTCAAATAAATTTAATCTTGATTTTGGTTATTTTGTGTTTCATAAATCAACCCTGGTAGCTTATCGCCCCAATCACTTTGTTTGGCGCATTTATAAGCGTGTCTTATGATAAAAAATTATTGATAATAAATAAATTTAAAATAAATAATAATAATAAATAATTACTTCGGATGGTTTGATTTGGTGGCAATCACTTCTCTAATTTGTCCGTCACTGCAACACATCCGACAAATGGCTCTGTGATGACCAGTGAGTACGGGTTGAACAATACGGGGCCAACTCTTTGTCGCTAAAAAATTATTATATTTTTAAAATGTAAGACAACTACTACTTAATAATACTACCGTAAGTTAAATATAATTAAAAGACAACTTAAGCGACAACAGACCTGTTTGTTCTTTTGTCTTACGAATGACAACATATGAATACCTTTCTCTTCCCGTCAGAGCTTTCTTTTGTTTAATTAATTGAAAAATTTAAATACAATTAAAAGATTTAAATAGATTTTTAACAAAAGTTTAATACTTGTTGTCCATAACGTAATGGATTGTAAGTAATTTCAAAATTACAAAGAACTGGACCATCAGTGAACTGTCGCGGACACGTCAGGTCGTGAGGACACTGTATTTAATATTATTATATCTCAATAAATGGTAATCTTATTTATGGTACAAATTGTATAAAACTATTCCTTAATATTACCGGTGATATAATAGTAGCATCAGTTGATTGACTAACAGTTGATAATTGAGAATTATTTGGATTATAATTAAAGTTTGCTGTGATTTTATGTCCGGATAATTGTAAGATAAGGTTTCGGGCCTCGAGAACGGCTGCAAAACCGGACCGATTGCCGTGTTCTACAATCACTAATACATCTTGAGTTTTATGCCATAAGTTTTCAATTACATGAATCCTATTTTTAGCGTCAGGGATATCAAGTAATGAAAACGCAGAAACAACTAAATCATATTTAATCTGTAATTAAAAGTTCAACAAAAAATAAATAAATAAACAAATGCTTGTACTGTATGTACTGTATATGTCATACATTGTGAGAAACGGGTAAATATTGTCGATAAAAGACCGGATCAAAAATCATTTTCTTATTTTCATTGCCGCCTTGTATTAAAAGTCTTGAAAGTTCATTCATATTTGCATTAATGTCAACACAAAAGTATTCATCAAAACCCTTTGGCCACAACTCATTTGCCGCCCAAAGCGTTGTCCCGATTCCTGACCCGAAATCAAATAAAGTTTTGGGAACAAAATCAGGAATTTCAGCCCTAATCTGATTTTAATTTCAATTAAATTATTAATTTAATTGAAAACATAATAACGTTATTTTAAAAATTACTTCTTTAAAAACAGAGTAAATTGATGCAAAATTTGGTGGCAATCGGGCGGCCAAATAAACTGCTGCCTTCCACTCATTATATCTAAATATTTTTAATATTCAAATAAAATAATTAAAAATATTTATTGTAAACATTTGTTTTGTGTAAATACTGTACTCTATGGGTAAATGATTAAGAAGTGAATCCTTTAGCCTTTTCTCAACCTTTATATCAATTCTCTGCAAAACTTCGTGTCTTTCTTCAGGTGACATACTTTTCAAATCAATAGCTTCTGTAAAATCCAATCGATATTATAATACTTTTAAAATGAAGAATCACATGAAACCAAACCTTTGTCCATAAGTCTAACTCTAATCTCTTTTTTCTTTGCCATCATTTCATTTGGTTCCGCCGGCATCTTGTGATCCATAATCACTCTAAACATTGTCTTTACATCTTCTCTGAATTGTTGACTGTTATACTCTTCAAGTGGTAAAACAAACAATTACTGTATTAATGTATGAATTTAAAAAAAGTGATAAATGAAACTAACTTTCAATGACTGTGTTGGCCGCGGCCTCCAATCGGATCGGTAGCGACACAATCGGTACACGTCTACGGCCAACATGTTTACGATATTTAAGGCCGGCTTCAAATTGGTTGTCAATGTCATCGTTGATAGTTATGGCAAACTTTGGCTTATTTGATAAAAACTATTTGATATAATAAAATCAATAGAAATATTAAATGAAATTAATTTTACATTTGATATGATGTGTGACTAACTCTTATCAATTGATTTTTGTAATTATTTGTTTGATTCAATGATTTACTAAATAATTGTAAACTATTTAACAACATTTCAAATGATTGTAATTAAAAGTTAATAATACAATCAAAAACTATAGTAATGTTATGCAAACAACACATCAATGTGTTTCATGTGACTAAAAGGGCGGAGCTTTTAATCATTACAATTAGTGTGGTTAAGAATCTAGACTTAAGTGACAATTATTATGTAATGTACAGTAATGTAAAATTTCCATAACTGTTAATTTGCTAAATATTAACAACACTAATTACCATAGTTATTTTAAATATTATATTACAATTTATTCATTCAAGTATTACAGTATTATATGTTTGTATTGTAATTTAATAATTAAATTTTTGTCAATAATTAAAATAGTGATATACCGTAAATATTTATATTTACGGTAATTATTTATATAATATTAATATTTGTCTAAATAAATAAAATTCAATGTTTTTTGTTATACAATTTACTAAAAAACTAAATTCTTTATTACTTTATTTTAAATTATTTAATACAAGTAATAATTAAGTAGATTATATCAATACATTACGATTTAGTTGTAATTTTATTATAAATAGACACAAATAACAAATTTTATAAAAAACATTTTAAATAGAAACAAATATATTAATAACTGCTTTAAGCATAACATAAATGTAGTAAAACTTACTTAAATAAAAATGATTAGAATTTAAGATGACTTTTACAAATAAATTATAGAAAATAATGGAAAATCTATGTAACAATTATTGTCAATATAATTCAACTCCAAAGTGCAACATAACTGCCCTGAAGACTGGCTGGAAGGGGACCACCGGCAGTAAACAGTCGTGTTTTGGATGAGTCATATTGATGGGTGTATACAGCGGGTGAGTATTGTATTTGTATAAATAGATCACTAAATATCTCATCGGTGTACTAAAAAAACATCATTAGATTAAATAGATAATCAAAAAAATTTAATTCATTAGTCTATTGAACCATTACTTACAACAAACCCTTTACTTGCTTTAAGACGTGAATAATGTTTGTTAATGGATTCAAGATATTTCATGGCTCGGATATCATAAAATAGCACTTCCCCATCACCGGTTCCTATTGTCAACAATTCATTGCAAAAACTAAGAGATCGTATACCACTGCCCTGACTCTTAGATAACACTTTATTAATGGGTGTTAATGTCTTAGTGTCCAGAATTGAAACGTGAGATTTAGAGCCGACAGCGTATATATTGCGATCAGTTTGTTGAGTGAGGCATACATTTTCCAAACAATAGGGTAATATTCTGGAAAACTTTTGGTTAAGTGTTTGTGAGTCAAATAAATGAATTTGAGCGTTCAGTGATAACACTACCATTTCCTAATAAATATATAATCAACTCAGCAATCAATTGCCGGTAATTTAATATCTTATAATAACAAATACCTCTTGTCTCTGATTATAAAGAATGGCACGAATTTTCTCAGCATTTCTACATTCTTTAACAAGAAGTGGTCGCGTATATGAATGCTTAGGAATTAATGAATCTGTCGTTTCTGATTCGTCAAGAGATTCAGATTCGTCAAAACATTCCGACTCATCGAACCGCCAAAGCGCTAGTTTAGTATCTCGTGAACCAGTTATCAAAAACTGGTCGTCCAACCACTTCATGTCAAAAATCCAATCCGAGTGAGCATTCTTTCAATTAAAATATCATTTAAATATACAATAAATATAAGATATTCTCAAATTTTTAAATTCATTAATAACTTACTTCTCCGACACAAAATGGGTCTAATGTCGGTAATCTGTAAACGGCCACATCGTTAGGATTTAGACCGCCGGTGGCCAACAAAGTTTTCGACGGATTTATCTCAATCGCGTGAATACCACACGGATTCTCGGGTGTCCTTCCATTCGGAGAACTCTTTAGTGTTGGAATTAAGTGATGCTTTTCATTGTTAACGTCTACAACAATCAGCTGTTGAATAGAAACAGTTATGAAACAAAACAATCGCTACAAACAACTAATACATACTTTGTTACATTTGGTGCCTAAGACGACTTGTTGGTCATTAAGCCATTGCGAAGAAAATACTTTATTAAATGATTCAAAAGCAAAACACTTTTCCCGAAGAAGATTATTTGCTAAGAGATGTCTCGTACCAAACACTTGTGGTAAATGTGCGGCTCTTCGGAGGCCTCTGTTATCGATTTGTCGCGAATTGAAAAAGTCGACAACATTTTGGGATTTATCGGATGTATAATATAATGAATCGATTTCACCGCTTAAGAAGCGCTCAATCCATTTGGGATCAGATAATAGTCTATAGTCTTTAGTGTCGTGTCTTGTTTTACGTTTAATTTGTGTGAAACTATCACTTCGTGTCAATTGATTACTACTTGATTGGTCTTCATTTGGTCCACAATCTAAGTCAAGATAATTACTGTTATATTGACTACAATTATCTTTAGCATCGATTCGGCGTTTCTTCACCAAAGCCATCGTCTTTAAAGAGCTTTAAATAACAATTCAAATGAAAATCAATACAAAAACGTTAACCGATATTATAATTAAATGTTTAGTTAAAAAACTTTTAAATCAAATGTAAACACAATTATAACTAATTATTATTTAAATATATATTATTTGCATTAAAATCGCGCTCTAAATGTCTATCAATAGTATTGTTTGGTTTTTAGTTATTATAATATCACTTACAATATGATTGTTATTACAGTTAACAGTCATTAACACTAATCAAACATTTAATTGATTGTGTTTTTCATGTCTTCAAAACAATAATTGCTTTTACATTATATCTAATGATTAGTAATTAATTACTAATTTGATGTCAACTGTTAATTGATTAATGTTTTTAAATGATATTCAAATGTATGATATATTTAATGATTATTCAAAAACAATGCGATTTCTAATTAAATGTTATAAATGTTTAGTAATAATCAAATGTTTACTGTTTTGCCATTAAATTCAATTGAAAGTCCACTTCATATAAATGGTTACATAAAAGTCATGTCATAAACACATAGAAATCAAAGCAATTGGCACTCAAATGGTGTTAAAATAATAACGTTATCTATTGATTGCCCTTTTGGTCAATGATTTGAAAATATTTTGAAAGTAATATAGATTTTTGACAAACTATTGACAAACTGTTGACTCAATTAATTGTTTTTAAATATTTATTAATTAAAAGTCAAAAGTCATGGACTCGGAAGCGATGCGAAAGGATTTGCTTGAATGCTATCAAAGAAGTTCAATCCGTGGCCTCAAACAGGCGACCAAATGGGCGGCAGAGTTGTTGTTGTCTCTGACGAAGACTATTGAATCCAATGGATTGGGTGATGACTTGAGCGCCGATATGAGTGATATTCATAATAGCCATTCAAGTATTGAAGTGATTCATGTCATGACTGATCCCATGTATATAATGGCAAAAAGTTGTTATGATTTGAATGAGTTCGAGAGGACCACATTCTTGACAAAGAACTCGAGTGTCAGTGAAATAAGATTTCTGTACTTCTATTCGAGGTATTTGTCGGCAGAAAAGAAAAGATTAGACCGAATGTCGGAAACCAATTGTATGGCCACTGATTCGGCCGTCAAATTGTTCACAGACTTAAAGGATGAATTACAAGATCTTTACTTTACTAACAATGACTTTAACTTAGATTCATATCTTCTGTACGTTTATGCCATTGTTTTGCTTAAACTTGAACTCACGTGGGAAGCAAAAGAGGTATTAGCTAAGAGTGTAGGTTTGGATCCATTAAATTGGTGTTCATGGCATCAATTGTCATTCATAATCGATGATAAATCTCAACTGGAAGTGCTTCAGTTGCCTAATCATTGGTTTAAGAAATTCTTTTTGGGAGATATTTATCTTGAGCTCCAACTCAATGAAGAGGCACTTACTCTCTACACTTCATTACAGCAAAGTTTCAATTCTTGTAATTATTTATTAAGTCAAATAGCGATAACAAAGCACAACTTGCGTGATGTCGACGGAGCCATTGAATTGTTTAAACAAATCAGACAATCAGATCCGACACGACTCGACACTATGGATATCTACAGTAATTTGCTTTATGTTAAAGAAATGCGAACTGAATTGAGTTCATTGGCGCACTCGGCCAACGATATCGACCCGTTTCGAGTGGAAACGTGTTGTATAATCGCTAATTTTTATAGCCTTCGTGGACAACATCCTAAAGCCGTTGTTTATTTCCAAAGAGCTCTTCAACTAAATCCTCGTCATTTGTCTGCCTGGACTCTGATGGGTCACGAATATATGGAAATGAAGAATACTGGAGCTGCCATTCAAGCATACCGTTCGGCAATCAAGTGTAACAAACGTGACTATAGAGCGTGGTATGGGTTGGGACAGACATATGATATCATGAAAATGCATGCCTACAGTCTCTACTATTACTCTGTGGCGCATTGCTTGAGACCAAATGACTCACGAATGATGATCGCAACGGGAGAGACATTAGAAAAGTTGGAGCGAAACAATGATGCCATCAAATGCTATTGGAAAGCGGGTGGTATCGGACTCTTCCGATTGGCATCTCTTTATGAACGACTCAAAGAGGACGACAGGGCAGCCGTTGCTTATACTGACTTTATATCCCGAGTGTCCAATTTGGACATTAATGACAAACAAAATATAATTCATAGCTCAGATATGGCTCATAGTTACCGATTTCTGTCCAATTATCATCTGAATAATGGCGATCTTAAATTGGCTCAATTGGCTGCACACAAGTGCTCACAATTTGCCGAAACTCGAGATGAAGGAAAATCATTGCTTAAGGAGATCCAGAAAAAGTGCTCTCAAATAGAATGACATTATAATTGTCACCTAAATTTGATTTATGACTTAATCACTACATTATATATAATATTTTATTGTAAGAAATAATAAAAATTAATTTTAACAAAAATAACTAATAATTTAACTTTTAATTCATAAAACTCTTGAAAAATGAAATCAAAAAATGATTGAAAGCTTTGCTTTTGAAAGCATTTCGTCACAAAACACGTGACTCTCACGACTAATACATTCACAAAGTGTTTGTAAACAAAATGTGGACTAAATTGAAGACAAATATATTATTTAATAAATTTAAATATGTTTTCAAATCAGTCAGAAAATGCAGATTTAGTACAAAAACAAAAGAAATTAGTTTTTTATTCAAAGAGTCGGTCAATATATTGGACAAGAAATATGTTGTCGACGAGTGGACAAACGTGACGCCGAAAGTGGTCTCATTTGTCGGACGTAATCTTTACCTCAAAAATGGAAATCCATTGTATTTTCTGTCTCAAGGAATTAAAAACTTCTTCAAAGATTACGATCACTTTGTCTTCAATGATCCGGTGGTCGACTTGAAGGCCAACTTTGACTCATTGCTTATACCTGAAGATCACGTTTCACGACAAAAGAGTGACACTTATTATGTGAACAAAGACTATGTTCTTCGGTCGCATACAAGCGCTCATCAAAACCATTGTCTCGAAACCAAATCCATGGCTTTCATCTGCATTGCAGATGTTTATAGAAGAGATGAAATCGACAGAAAACATCATTCAGTCTTTCATCAGTGCGAAGGATTCAAACTTTACGATAATAAGAGTCCTCAGGTGTTGTTGTTTTGTGATGTTATGTTTAATTTATTAATAATATTATTATTACTTATATCACCAGCTGATCCAAAGCGGTATTTCTAATATATTTGACAATCATTCGACATTAAAAACGGACACAAAACAGGAAAATCATAGCCAAGAAGCAGTTCGTGCGATTGAATCAGAAATGAAGACAACTATTGAATCATTTATTCGATATCTTATGGCCGAAGACTTACCGATGCGTTGGGTTTCCGCTTATTTTCCATTTACTCATCCGAGTTGGGAACTGGAGATATATTACAACAACGAGTGGATCGAGATATTAGGTTCTGGTATTGTTGAGCACAAACTATTGTCAAACGCCGGTTATACCGATAAGATAGGCTGGGCTTTTGGTATTGGTTTGGAGAGACTGGCAATGATTCGCTACCAAATACCTGATATAAGAATCTTCTGGACCAATGATACAGGATTTCTGTGTCAATTTGAAAACATAACCCATTTGGACAAAATTGTATACAAACCTATCTCATCCCACCCACAAATCTATTTTGATTTATCATTTTGGTTACCACAAGACATATTTTGGTGTCATAATGACTTTTACGATGTTGTCCGCAATATTGGTGGTGATCTCGTGGAACAGGTTAAGGTGATCGACGAATATACAAATAAAAAGGGAAACACTTCAAACACATTTCGGATTATTTATAGAAGTCATGAAAGAATGTTAACTAAAGATGAATGTAATGTTTTACATAAAAAGATTGAACAATACGTTACCGACAATTGGAAAGTTATCATTAGATAAAGTCATCGTATTATTAAGTATTTAGTTTAAATAATTACTAAATTGATTATAATTTTTATATTATTTGTTTTATTTTATTGAATTCAATATTTATTTAATACGATTAGTATTTTAAATCACAGAAATTGATAAAATTTGAATTAATATAATATTTAAATAATTATATATCAATTTCACTCAAATGTTTTAACAAATAGAGGTTTCCCTTCATATCAAGGCTTTAGGCGTTAATCTCATCTCATATAATAAATTGTTTATTCAATTATTTAACATTATTAAGTGCTATAAATATTTTTATAATAACAATAAAATAAAAGTTAATTATATTAAAATTCTTATGTATTGTACAGTATTATAGGTATAAAAAATTAAGGACACACACAAAAAACACACAAAACACACAAACATAACATTTTGTTTTTTATTTGTTTGGTTTCACTTAAATGATATGCACTTTTAAGTCATTAAAAATTAATGATATAATGCAGGGGTTGGCACTCTTATAGTTTAAATTTTGGTGCAATTTTTATAATTTCATTATTTTTATTACTATTGGACACCCCATACATATTAGGAAAGACCTTGGTTATTATTTTTTACAATATTTAAAAGTATTATATAGCGAGAAATATTACATACAAGTATTAAAAATGTGCATAAATCTTGAATTATTGGTCAACTTTATAAAAATATATATTAACTAATAATAAAAAGATAATAAAATTGGTTTTAAAATTTAAATATACATTTAACTGAGTCATAGAAAGAATTTGTCAATTTTTATAATGTATTGAAAGCTAAGATGAATTGAATCCAGAATTCTCACTATAATTATGTTAACAAAATTAACAATCAATTTCACTAATTATCTGTTATTCATCACATGTTTTCAATACATATCTATAAATATTATTTAACAATTTAAGTTTTAACAAATTCAAACAATATATGCAAAATTTCTCTTATTAATTATAAGTCAATGGTTATTCAAATGAATTATTATATTTTATATATATGTTTAACAAATGTTTTATGGTATTTATGATATAATTTGAAAAACAACACTTTATTATTTAACGATAAGTATTACTTTGATTTCTAATTTTTTAGAGCAATACAAATATCATTAAATAATAGATTAGATAAAGACATGTCTTAGTAATAGTCAACTCATTGTTGCTGTTGTTGAGGATTTTGTTGAGATTGTGCTATATTTTCATCATTTCTGACGTCTGACTTAAGTTTGACGAATTCTCGGGCGACCTCATCATTGGATCTCTGCGATAGTATCCTTAAGATAGTCCAACCGGTCTCATCCATGTGGACCCGTCTACCTAATGGTAGCCAACAGGCACAGCTTCCCTGTTCAATAATATCCCTCAACTGCATGATAGCGGCCCCAACCAGTCTGTCTTCTCGAGCGAAACAGTAATCTTTAACTGCGATATGAATTTCAAAAGATGTCGGTTCCTCTTCGTTACCGATAATACTAATGAATTATACAGTAAATGACAGAATCAGTCATGTAATCAATAAAATGTGTGATTAAATCATACAAATGGAAGGTTTCATTGTATTTTGGCGACCAATTGTTGTTCTTGGATTTGGTGGCAAACTTTCTTTTTTTATCACTTAAATTTGGTCCAATCATATTGACCTCAACGAATGGCCTAAACATACTAGTGTTGGGCCATTTAAGCTCATTGCACGCAACCACTTAATTTGATAATTTAAGCAATAATTTGTTATAATTTATAAACAAATATTATCTTAAACTTGGAATTACCTTTAACTGTGATCTTATGTTCACCTGTTCCCGGATGAGTAAACAGATCCACTTGTATGGAAACATCACCCACCGGTCCATCTTCTTGTGTCGGCAAATCTATTGACATTTATATATATAATAATTATTCATTTAATATTCAGTATATACACAGAGACACTTTTAATAGTTTATTACTGAAATCTATTTATATTTTTGTTTGTCTGACTGAATGTCAAATTTTTCAAAATTTAGATTCAGAAAAATACAAATAAATAATTTATAATAAATATTATGAATTAAATTCTTTAATTTTTTAAAAAACAGTCAATATATGTTTTCAAAATATTTTTTTTCACTAGAAATATAGTAATTTAATATTTTATTTAGTTTTAAATTTTGAATTTTTTTATTTATAATTTTTTCAATCAGGGAGTTACTATACTATTACTATTACTATAAAAAATCACCAAGATCAGATAATTGGTTTAATCTCAAAGTGGTAAAGTTAGACATATCTACAGTATATAGATATACATTATATGTTATATAAAAATATTTATCAGACCTTGTTTTGTCTGAGATGTGACAAAGGTTTTGATGAGAGCATCAGTGGTTTGTGTATATAAAGACAATGCGTATCTCAATGACTGTAATTCGTTACTCTTCTCGAGGAATGTCTTCTTAAGTCCATTACCTCCGGCGTGAAAGTATTGTTTTATTGTCTCCAATGCGATGTCGAGAACAGCACATTGTTTTGGACTCAAATTTTTCTCAAACTGAAGTGACTATTATATAAAAACAATTAAATTAATAATAAACGTAATTAACGGCAACAATATGTTAGTATACCTCCATAACTCCAAGAGTTGGTAAACGATTAGCTGTGACGTGATTGCGGAACAATCGGGAAACGTCTTCAATCTTAGCGTTTGGAAGGTTCTGGAGGATTACATTCTTTTCACTCATCGGTGGTAAAACAATAGTCTTCTCTAATGTGTGCATAACTATCTTCCAGAGCTCTTTCAATAGCCTTTTCAAAACAGTTCTTTCACAGAATTGAGCGAACATTGAAAGCTTTCCATCTAATAGATCCATCAGAGGATGTAATATATGGTCGGCATCGGCGGCAACCTCTTGACTGTTTCGAAGAGCTTGATTTGCTTGCGATGAACTGCCGGACGAACCCTTTATTTGTTGTAAAAGAATTCCCAATTCCTGAACACTTTGTTTTATAGTTCCCTCCAAACTGTTAATAATTTATTAAAATTATATAATATTAAAATTCGTATAATATATTGACTAATATATAAAATATTGAAAATTTAATAAAAATACTTACCTTTTGGCAAAAATAGCACTCAATTCGTCGAGAACTCCATTAAGACTTTGCTGTAATTCTTTGAGAATGTTTGCCGCATCTGATTCCAGCTGTCAATCAAATTAAAAACATTTCATTCAATAATTCATTTAATTATTCATTTAATTTAATTACTTTTTCTCCACCCATAGATTCAAACATTTTTTCTAATTGTACTCTCAATTGTTGAATATTGTTCATTAAAATACAGGCCTATTATAATTTTAAAAATAAATTATAAATTTAACTCTAATTATAATAAATGTAATAATAATAATCTCACAGTTTTTTCTTGTGCCACATAATTGTGGAACTCTTTCTTAACGATGTCCGCGTAAGCGGTTAATACTTTGACTATAGTTTTAGCAAATCGTTTCATATATCTCTTGACAATCTCAGGGTCGGGACACTCGAGTTTGGAGATGACATCAAAACATTGTGTCAATTGAGTGAACACATCGACCACTGAATTGGAGAACAAAGAATGTTCTGAACTTTGTTGGAACTGTTGATTAAAAAATTGAAATTATTATTTGATTGTTGGATAGAGTGATGGATTAATAGATGAAATAAGATAACTGACCCCATCTTTCTTATCTCTTAAAAAGGCACTGTTTAGGTATTCAAGGGATACGTCGTCGTTCTCATTGAGCCATTGCATCACAAATGGTTCAAACCATCTATTGATTGATTTAACAAATTTATTAATAATAATATTTTTAATGATGTACTTAAAGTATATTAAAAATAAGTCTTACGCGGGATATTCAGGAACTGATCCTTTAAATTGTGGCACATCTTTACAATATGTATTATAAAACCACTTGACTTTGAAATGAAGGTTCATATACGCAGAACTTCTGCAGAATCTGTTTTGTTCGTGTTCTTCGAGAGCATACTTCATGTCAACAGCAAACAAACTCCACATCGTGGCAGCGCTTAAATGTCCGATATTTAACTCTTGAGGAAACCTATTGTGACAATTGATTATCAATAATAGAATTTAAAAACATTATTTGTATTATAATTACTGATTCAAAACAGGAGAGTAACTATTTTTGTCTTCTTCAATGATGGATACCATAAGCGCCACGAGTTTGTGCCAAAAGTCAAGATTCTGAAGACTTGGTCCGTGATCTTCCTGACCCTCCTTTTTCTCGTTTGGATCCGTTTGAAACTCTCGTCCATACAATTCTGTACAGTTTTCAAATAAGAACTGATATGTCGATCGCAGACATGCTTTGGCGCAATCTTTGACGACAGTACTGGCTCGGGGAGGACTCGACAGCTCCTGGACTTTCATACGGAAGAATGTTATACTCGTTAGTAAGTCAACCGTTGATTTGAGATCTTGAAGTTTCTCGGGTGAAGACGCGGGGAAATTATTCTGTATGACATCACAAGTGAATCAACATTTCATGTATAGTATTAAATCATATGTGACATACCCTATACATAGATAAGTCTATACGAAGCGAATTGTGCAACTGATCCAACAGTTTAACAAACTTTTCTTTCTGTCAATTGATTTAAGACAATATCATATAATTTGTTGTAATTTTAAACATAATTCTTAGTTTTAATAGTTTGTAATATAATATAAATGATCTCTGAGTGAAATAATTTAAATAAAAAGTTAATAATTAATTTGAATTAATTTAAGCATATTATATCAATTTATGTTTTGGTTTTAAAGTTATTTACATATATAGCTGATGGCAACTATGTGTGAAATGCAATTAAAGATCTCATATAATATTATTTATATTGTATAATATAATACACAATAAATTTGCATATTAATATGAATTATGCTTTTTGATAATCACATTAACTCTGTATTTACGTATTTGCATAAAATTAATGAGTTATTTGTAAATTAAATTAGAAATCTATTGAAGAAAAATACCCCGAAATTAGAGGCAGCGAAGCGATCGCTGGCCGAGACGGCAGATGATGCGGCCGTATGGGCGTAGTATGCATTGATGTTGGCTAATAGGGTACTCATCACTGCAGGAACTCCTTGACATAAGTACTTCGTGGACAGACAGTGAAAGTGACTATTTATTAAATATAATAAAAGGCAGTTTAAGTGATAGCTTAGTATATTAATTATATATATTTTTATACGTCATGGCTTGATATATAGATTCAATGCCATATCTCATAGCAAACTCATCGACTATTTCTCGAGCCGGGTATTCAAAGTAGACTTTCCATGCGTCGTCCTATTAAAAAAAATATGTTTATTATAAAATAATTTAAATAATTAATATAATAATAAATATAATAGTTATCTGTTTAGTTAATATTTTAATATTTTGTATAATTATAAAAGTTATAAATAATATTTTTCTTCTATAATTATAAATATATAATGTAATGAATTTAATTTTATTCCATTAAATTATTGTATTTATTTTTAAAAATCTCATTATTTTTACAATATAATTAACTTTATATATATATTCATACAAAAATATAATTAACTTATTGATATTATAATTTTTATATCTTTAATTAAGATTTTAGAATTTGGTTTATAATTATTATAATAAAAAGAAAATAAATGATTTCATAATAATTTGTTTAGTTCTTAGCATTTAATTATAGAAATAGAAAAAATGGTTGAATTGTATTGTATTGTATTAAACAAATGAATTAATTTATTTAATGAGATTTTTTCCCTAAAATATTTGCAACAAATATGTAATTCAGAAAATGTTTTCATCCATTTTTTTGTTATATAAAAATGCTTTATATATGAAAATTATGTTATAAGCAAAATATATGCCTTAAGGTTACGGATCAGTCATTGAACACAAGTTATAAATTTAAGTTTTAATGGATGTTTGTATTAACAAAAATGATAAAAAATGTTTTAAAAAAAATGTTTATTATTTTTGTTCGCATACTTCATGTTTTGACATATAATGAAAGGAAACATTATTTAATAGCACTGAATACATGCAAAATGAGATTTAGATAACAATTTAGGTAAAAATAATTGGAGCGTAAAAAGCAATGCTATTTATGTGTAGTATTTTAGACAACAAGCTCTATGTATGGACTCTATGTGACTAAAATGTACTTAATTTTAATTTGTCTCAAAATTTGTGTATCCATTAGATTTGTTTGTACTTTACTATTACTACTAAATTATATATTATCTGTTTGTATAATATTATATAACATAGTATAGGAATATTATTTATATTTAGTAAATAAAACATATTTTTGGTAAAATTACTATAGAATCTAGAAATTCCTTTAAAAATTCCTTATATTAAAATACACTTTAATATACCAATATATATATATATCTAACATTTATATTGAGGTGAATTGACATAAAATTCAAGACTAATAATTTAAATAAAAATATTTTAATAGCCTTAATTCCTTTAGTAATATATTGGTTTCGTTTATCATAGAGATATTTTTAATTTATATTTTAGATATATTTATTTTATCATTTATATCATAATATGGTTTGACTTATTAATAGTATTAATAAAATAAAACAATAAAACTAACCTTCAATTCTCTATTATATTTAATTATTCTTTTGTTTAATAATAAACATTTGAATTTATATAGAAAGAGGAGTTTTTAGTAATATATAAGTTAATGAGTCAAATAGTTTATTCCTTAAAATACAACAACAATAATAAAAAGTTGAAGATATTAAATATTTGTGTGTATTCAACATAATTATGGTTTACATGACATTTAAAGATTGTTTGCTTTATTGAATTGAATTACTAAAAAAGCAAAAAGCATTTCGCCTTTCAATAGTTGTTTATTGCAATTGAAAGTACAGTAGTGAGCAAACAAATTGAAAATGTAATGGCCTTATGGTCAATGCAATATACAGTATATATAATTTGAGCCCATTTTTCAATTTCAAGTAATCTAAAACTTTTTTCATCAGACTTTGCAAAATGAGGCCCTTTTTAAAAATACATTAAAATTGAATGCATGGCTGAACATACTTGTGGTTCAGTTTTCTAGTTATATCTCAAAATGATTATGATATCAATCCATTTCCTATATATATATATATATAATATTTAGTATTATTTATAATATAGGATATGGATTGGTATAATAATCATAAGTGAAATATATATTATATACTGTACTATAGTATTCTAATAACTTTTGTTTGGTATAATAGTTTAATAATTCACCAAAAATTTTTATATTTATTTTATTTATCAAAATTATCAAAAAATTATTATTAAATTTATAGAATCTATAATAGACTATAACTGTAGTGAGTCTTTGGGTTCAACGATGTATATAGAGATTAGCTATTAAGCAGTTAATCGTTAAGAAAAAGTGAAATTAATGTTATAGTTGTGACCAGTGTTGGCAGAGACAAAGTGTATGTATAATACAAAGCGTATTATACAGTATAATACAATGTAAATTACATGACAATTTTGGCTTTAAAAAAAATTAGCGCCACCTAGTAACAAAAATACAAAAATTCACAAACAAACATGTTTTGTAATAATAATTTTTTTATTTAAAAAAATTTGAAATTAACTATTCAATTTGATGCTGGTATTGAAATATATTAATAAAATAATTAATATTAATTTTTAAGTTTTAGAAAACAACAATTCTAATAACGATATTGAAATTATGTAATAATAATAATTTTAATAAAAAAATAAATATTTTATCATTGTTAATGTAATTTTTCTATAATTGTAAAATACATCCAGTACATTGTATTTTACTGTAATTTACAAAGCCAAAATTGAAAACCTTGTATTTTTCCAACCCTGGTTGTGACTAACATTTTATTTGATTATTTCAGCAAATATTCACTTAACTAATGATTTATGAGTTTGTTTATTAAATTTGTTGAAATTTAAATTCAAATGACAAAAATTCTTTTAATTTATAAAATTTAATATAATTTATAAATATTATAATATTGCAAAAAAACTAGTTGTTTTAAACATCAAGTTTTTATTGAAACTTTTGAATATTAAGCTTTCAAAACATTATACAAAACTTACATATTGTATATAATATAGATTTGTATAAATAAAATCAAATAATTTTTTTTTTGAATATCATAATCTTTTTAAATTTACGACATGAATATCAAATAGGTATTGATAACATAAAATTTGATGATATAGTCAATATACTGTATATATATATATAATATACAAATATATTGATTTATAAGTTGTGTTATTTATTATAGTGTATTATTATACTGTAAATCAAATTAAACTATTCTCAGGTGAACTAATAACTATTATTGATCTCATCTATGAATATATGGACCTAAAAGGATAAATAAGTTGGTGTGGATTCAGGGCTTTTATATTAGACCTCAATTTAATACATTCATTTTAAATATAAATATAAATAATACATTAAGTTTTAAATATAATATAACTAAATTTCAATTTGATTTTCAAGTTTTATAATAACGATTAGCTTAGTTATAATAATACTGTAATAATCATATGATTATTATCAAAGTTACAGCTATTTAATTGATAATTGATTAAAGTAAAGTACATATACAGTACAGTAAATAGCGCATTAATGATATACATTGTATTTGATATATTTATGTCTAACAATACATAATTTAGTGGTATTTATAAATAAAATATATTAATTTTATATAATAAACATTTATTTTTTTTAATAATCTTTAATAGACCTATAAAATGACTAACATTACAGTATATCTAAAGTTCTACTTTTTTAAATATTTCATATCTATTATAATTTCTAAATAATGTAATAAATGGATCTATTGTTATAATAAAATATTTTTATATTATAATATAATAATAATAATCATTATAAAGGCTATCATAATATGTTATTATATAATATAAAAGACTTACCCCTTTAGCGTCGGGCAGTTTGACGACACCATTGTTTTGAGTTTCACACAAATAATGAAACAAATTCTTAACAATAAATAAATGAAAAATAAGTTTATGATATATTGGTTGAAGAGGTTGGAAGTGCTGACCTCATGAAGGCAAGTGTATTGGACGTGATATGGCGCTACTTTTTCTTCACCCTTAATCTCAACACTTATATGCAATCGTATGGCTCCGGAAACAGCAGACTTGTCTGTCCTTTTCTCCAGATTATACCACACATCCATCTCTCCGCTCAAAGTTCTGACTTCAATAATAGTTTGTCCCAAGAAGTCATCCGATTCTCTCGTCAGTTTTTGTCTTAATTTAGATTTGAGATCATTGTCTTCATCCCAAACCCTAACTTTAATTCTGTCGGAGGAGTTATGACACTCAAAGAAGAACTTTTCATTCCAGACTGGATTTAAATCTTGAGATATAGTTCGGGTCCTCTTTTTGGTTTTGCCGACTTGAGTGGTCACATAAGGATCACTTGTGCCACTCTTATCTTTGGCTATAAGACCCTGAGCGCAGATCACTATGCGATTCATATGATATTATTAAATTAAAAATGTAATTAAAGTGTTAAAATTAATTAATAAAAAACAAATATATAATATATATATCGTGCTTAACGTCGAAAGACAGACAAGGTTTTGATTGAATTGACGTCCAAAGAGAAGACATAGATTGGGATAAAAAGGAGACAAATACATGCCTGTGATGGCTATCTTAGCAGACCAACTGCCGGCAAGCATTATCTGCTCTGACTTTTGCATTTCATCGATATGAGAGTCTGGATGTATACCAAAAGTGACCCTAAAGTGACATTTAGACAAATACAACACTCACAACACCGACCAAACAATTCATGCATTTATTATTATAAATAATTAAATTAAAATTTGAATTAAAATAAGTGCAACACTTTTGGCAACACATTGTTTGGGACACAATTGCATTTCAACGATTGATTTTTTGACAACTCATGACATTTACATAACAGCACAAAGTATTTTACACCAAATAATCATTTGATCCAATTATGACATGTTTTATGGTTATCATTGAATGTCTGGTATTTTATTAGATCAAACCTACCGGTGATGGCAATTTTGGCCGACCATTTGGAAGTGCCGTCGAGTACTGATTGTTTTACGGCTTTCATATGACCCGAATGACTCTTTTCGTCGACACTAAACACATCCCTATATTTATATATATATAAATTTTGCCAAATATTTATTTTTTGTTTTGTTTAATACATTACCAATTAATTTTCAATATACGGTATTAGTTGTATAAAAATTATTAATAATGAATTTCATTTAATACAATACCATTATTATATTTATCCATTTTTATTAATAATTGCACTTATTTTTTGTGATATAATGCACTACTGTTTTGTCTATAGATATATCTAAAAATGACAATTTGATGACATACCTGATTAGTTCAAATATTTCTGGTTTATCCCGTTCTCGCACTTTCATCCTATCCTTCATTGCTGTAATAATATTATTAGCCTTATCTTCGGCCCCATGTTTTGAGCTTTTTTCGGCCGCTCCTAATATTTATATCAAAATTAATTAAAGTTATCATTAATTTTTGATTATTTAAATGACTTACTTTGAAGACAGTCGGCATTTAATAAGTCTTTGCATTTTTCATGGCATTTGACACCACATTCAGTACATCTGACTCCTTGTCGGGCAATACCCCAAAGCAATCCCTCGCATTCATAGCAATACGTAGGACTGGTAGCAGTCCAGGGCTGGAAATTATGTGGTGTTGTACTCGATATGGGATATATCAGTGCCTGAAGTGTTTTCTTATAGACATGAGTTTTCTGTATTGCCATAAAAGTTTGATTACAGAGTTATTTGATAGGATATGAATTGAAAATAGAGAATAATAGGTATAAGTAGTTGACTAACCAATTCCTCGTCGTTAAGGGAAGCGCGGGGAACGGCGGATGTCAGACCTGCGTTACGTTTGGTCGCTGCCATTGTCTTTAGGTTTTAATTTAGTAATTATATTATATTTAAATATTATAATATAAAAATTATATATATATATATATATATATATACTGTATATATATACTAACAATTTGGAATATCATCAATTAATATTAAAACAATATACTGAAAATTGTTAATATTTAATTATTAAAATTGTTGTTATACTACAAACACATAGTATACAAGTTGTATAATACAACTTCAAAATAAATAAAAACTGCAAAATCTAAAATAATTTATTCGAGTTTATAAACATATAAAAAAGTTATAAAAATTACATACCTTTAAAACCTATTTTATGTAAATTATGATAAAAATGAAAAATAGAAACAATTAAATAAAAGGCAAATCAATAAAATATGTGAATTCATACCAATTCGCTGACCAACGGAATTGACTTTTTTCGGGGTCTTATATCAGGCATTGCGTCGATTCCGCTAAAGAATGGATTATCACTAGAAGTGGAGGAATGAAATAAATCCATTTTATTTTCGTTCAATTGTTTTGATTTATTTTTGTTAATCAATTGTCAATAATTCACTTTTAATGTAAATGTTAAATGAAACGTTGCGTAAAACAATACGCAATGTAGTTGTAATATCCGTTAATATAATTATATAAATAATAACTAACCCTCCTTTAGGCCACAAACTCTTGACTCCGTCACCACTTCCCTGTCGCGCACCGGTCTGTATGAGAAAAGTCATAATAAATCCCATTAATCACTGATAGTATCATTTTATTTGTATAGTCTTCAGTGAATTCAAATTTTTATTGATATTATTAAAGGAGTCCTTAATTGTATTATTTAGGGATTTGTTAGAAACCAATTTGTCATTTCTTGTTATTTTATATTATTCAAACATATGATACATATGTTATGAATTGATAGTTATTGTGTTATATAAACATTTTTATAGAGATTTTTGTATTTGTATTATATTTCTGTATGAAATTGTATTAAATCTAATTTTCAAAATAATTAGTACTTTGTAAACATATTATACAAGTAATTAAGTCTTAATGTTTATTTTGGTTTAATAAAAATGTTTAAATGTTTTAAGCAAAATATTATAGCTTTTAGCACATCCCGGATGAAAATAATGTGCATTTGTTAGGTCATTACAAATAGACCACAATATATACAAATATTTGTTTGTATTTCAGACAATAGAATAAATAATTTGACTAAAAAAACATATTAAACAATTACTATGTTTTTATTTATATGACTATTAAATAGTAGCTTTTTTAGTATTTTTAATGTGTCTTTTGTGACACATTTATTATCTTAATTAAAGTTTATTATATAATATAATTCCCGAGACTTTACTGTCAATTATTATTCAAATCAAATGTATTCCGCAATTATTTGGCTTATTTATGGTTCAGCCTAACAGATAAAAATTATATGATATCAAATTTAACATTCATTTAAATTAATACAAATTTAATAATATATTTTAGATAAATATAAGAACCACTCAAATATAATAAATCATAAATTTATTAATAAATAATAAAGGAATCGATTTGAATGCACTGTAAGTAAAATATAATACAGAATATTATAGAAATAAATTGGATTGAATTGAGAATCGGATCGATAAGATGCTCAATGAATCCTAATGTAGACTTTATTTTATATACAATACTACTGTATATACAGAGTATTATTTATTATATAGTATAGTGTGTACTGTATGTGTGTGTGTATTGATATTTACTGTATTTCATACTACTGTACTTATTATAATGTACTATATATACTGTATAATATATAATAAACTCAAAATATTGGTTTAAGGCATAAACATAATATATATATGCATTTTTAAATGGTTAAATAAAAATCACAATTATTACAATGTGCAAATTTATTTCAATATTGAAAATTAACCGTAAAATTAAGCTAATTTGTTATAAAAATAAATTAATCTGTTATTTGATATTAACCCAAAATATTATTATAATTTAATTTATTATTGCTTTGCACGATAAAGAACTCAATGAAAATTAGAGTACAGGTATATATATATATATATATATACTGTACTTAAAACTCATATAAAAAATAAATTAATAAATAAATTTTCGTCTAAATCGTATAATTTTCATAAGATGATAGATCATTTAAATGTTAAGTATCTTTAAATTAACGAAAAATTAAAAAATTTGCTCTAAAAACAAAATATGAATTTAAATTTTGCACTTTTATAATTGTGTAAATAACATATTATGGATACTATTAATATTTTAATAACATATTTATTTTTTTATTAAAACAAAATTATAATTAATTTTGATATAACATAAAAATAAAAATATCTTGTGTATAATACACTATTAATAAAAAATTATTTTCATGTAAATACTGTACGTATACTAATACAGTATTATATAATATATTATATAAATGTCACCCTATTATTAAAAAAAATATTTTTTAATAATTAATGTATAAATGATTTTTATATCATTGAACACTCATATTTGTATCATAGGTAATATGCTATTAAAATTTATATAATAGTAATATATTATATCATATATTAGATTATTCAATAAATAATATAATTTTATAATTGTTCATTTATTATGCTAATTGTTTTTACACACTAATTGAATGTTTATCATCATTAATTGAATCTAGCACATAATTTAGAAAGTAAGCGACAATTACTATATAATAATTTGTAATAAAAACTAATTAAGTGAAAATAATAAAAATGGATTTTAAAAATCATATTTTGTTATAATTTGTATTATAAATTTAAAGTGATTCATTCAATAGATATAAGTTAAATTATTAAATGTGTATGTGTTAGTTTAAAATACTTAATTTTAAAATTTACAAAATAAATAAATATATTTTTATGAATTATTTATGATAATTTATTCATATATATATAAATAAGGGTAGATCCAACAAATAAAAATAACTGAATTTACTAATTGTTTTACAATATTCAGTACAATAACAATAAATAAAGATAATCTTTATTATTTAAAAAAAATATATTTAAAATTTAAAGTTATTATTATTTAGAAAATCTTATAGACATTTATATTTTTTTAAAATCTTAAAATACCAAAATATGATTATTTTATATTTTACTCTACTATACTGTAGTATAATTTTCAACATAAATGTCAATTTTAAAGGTTTTAAAATATTTGCGTTTGAATATCAGTTCATACATTACATAAAATATTTATTAAAATTATATTTTCGTTTAAAATTAAAGGAAAATATTTTTAAAATATCTCTTTAATTAAATATGTTAATAATAAAATAATATTTTATTCAATTAAAATAATATTAATTATTAAAAAATATTTTAGCTATTACTATAAAAAATATAATTTACACTATACAATATTACATATACAGTATTAACGATTTTTATATTTTAAATGATTTATTAAATAATACATTAAATGAAATGTTGAATACGCGTTGATATCGCTAATATAATTTTTTTTAGTTTAATGCCTTTATAATTAATTTGATTTTTATTTATAATGACAAATAGATATTTATAATAAATTTATTTAATAAAATTATGGAAAATTTATAAATAATTTTATTATATTAATATATTCCTAATTGTAATTTCAAAATTATAATATATACTCTAAATTTATATTACACTACAAGTTAAATCCCAATATATATAGTAAAATTTTTAGTTTATTCAATAGTTATTTGATGTTTTTATTTATTTTATAAGTAATGAATTAGATGACACAAAAATAGAAATTTAAAATAATCTGACAAAATATTTAAAAACATAAATTTTTAAGCTTGATAATAATAATAATAATAATAAATACTCAAAGTAATTATTATTATTAATAATTATAGTTTATTAACATATATAACTTAATACACATTAATTTATATAATATATATATACGGTGACCCATAGGCAGGAAATTCTATATAAAAATTTTCTAGAAATTTTCTAATATTTTATAAAATTTCAGTATTACTAATCTATAATTATATTTGACACAACATATTTATAAAGCTTAAGAGTAATTAATGATTTTTATGTATAAATTTATTTGCAAGTATTTGAATGGCTTTTGAATACAAATTGATAGACTTATACTAACAACAGGAAAGACAAAGTGAATAAACTAAATGTTGAGACATTTCACTTAAACTAATAAAACCAACTTTTTATATAAATGTCAGCTAAAGTTCACAAAAATAAAACATTTGATAAAAACTGGACTTACATTATGTTTTAGTGATATTATATTTTTTAATATATAAATATTACACAAACAGGATATTGTTGAATATAAGTAAGATTTTGAATATATATATTCTTCATATAAAATATATTTAAAAAAAATCATTTCTAGCATTTGATTCAACCAAAAGCAGTTTTTATTGTTTTACTGTTTTTATGACATCAACTAATGTTTTCTAGCATTAGTGTTGATATAAGAAACAAGTATTGATTAAGTAAATGTAAGTTTAGATGTTATATCTATTTCAAGCATTTTTGTTAAAGAAAATCAATCTAAATGTAAGAAACAAAATTGTGTGTCATTTTGTATGTCACATACAATTTATGGCAACTTATTAGCCAATTCCTAATTAATCATTTAACTAATAGACTTATTAATTTCACATCACATCACAAATCTATATGTTTTTGCTTTCAAAATATATTTATATAATTCTGTATTGATATAATTTTAGGTATATTATTGATATACTGTATCAAATGTATACATCCTATTAATGTAAGTTTACAAATATTTGTAAAATACGAAAATCAATATTCATTTGATTTATTTAATATAATAGAGTTCATATTATATAAAAATGCTACAATTTTGTTTGATATATACTATATGTTTAAATCAATAATATATTATTCAAAATATAACAAATAATAAGAAAAATTATTGGAAATAAGATAAAAAGCGTAAAAACATTTGTTTTCTTTCAGTATTAATTAAATGAGAAATAGTTATTTGAATATTTTTTTAACTTTCTAAATATCTAAATGATTCTCTAATTTAATTATTTAACAATTCATATAAAATATCAAATAAATATTGTGGAAATAATCATTTAGAAAATAGTAAATTAGGGCTTTATTTATATATTTAATTATGCTTATCATAAACTAATTGTGAATCATTTATAATAATCGATAATTACTGCAATAAAATTTCATATAAATATATTTTACAGTATTATAATAACCAATTGTTTTCTCTTTTGCCGTATTTTTAGAAATGAATGAAACTTATTGCATAAAATATCTCATAAATGACATATAATAAGAAAATTATTTTTATGTGTAATTTATATAATGATGTTTGAGTTTGCAATATTGCCAGCTTTATCACTATATTATTCTTTATCTAAATTACTTTTTATTTTTTTATTAAAATTAGAAATATTGATAAATAAATTTTGATCTCAAAAAATATAATAAAGTATAATTTAGCAAATATTCTTTATATTCAATATATATATATATTTATCACATAAAGTATATCTTTACGTCATGCAATTCAATAGTTATTGTATTTGTTTGTATTTTAAATATAATAAAGTGAATAAACAATTTATTTTGCATATTATTGTTTAAATGACATTGTTTATAATATTATAAATCCGTAAAATATCATAAAATTATAAGATGATAAATGAAAA